CCCCCCCCAAAAAAAAAACTCAAAATCACACCATCAAAACCCACCAACCCCACGAAATAATATATAAACACCTATCTCGGCAATAACCATAAACCAAAAAGTAGCACCACGTTTAGCGGCATGATAACCACCCGAGACGAGCAAATCAGAACCCCCCCAGGCGATAACGCCCGTGCCCACGAAGATAATCGGAGACGGACTGTATCAGAGTCCCGACGCTTAGCGGCAAATGTCAGCGCTGATCGCGAACGGGCCCTAGACTAGTCTAGTAGTGAGCGACGTCTCCGTTGAACAACTAAGAGGGGCAGCGGGACGGGTTTGCACGGTATTTGGAATTGTGGCATTTCTTCCTTTTCTTTACCCCTGATGATCTTTCCAGTAGAGCATTTACTGAGAAAAGAAAGTATTATGGTAGAAAGAAAGAGATGACATAGCCGGGTTTGTAGGTCGTGTTTTATGCTGACGGCTTCTAGCGGTGTTCTGGATATGCACACTGCATAAACGATTTGGGGGCCCCTCGTGCTAGTAGAGGCGAAGCCAAGACGACTAGGGATTTAGGCTCCATGCGAGATCGCAGTCAGCGTTGACGTGGCAGGTCTAGAAGCCTTCCCCTCACTAGGATGGAGGTTTGGGTATGCAGGTTTGGGATGCGGGGGTATTCGGTGTTGTGTTGGTGTGTTTTTTTTTTTTTTTTTTTTGTTCTAGAATTGTATTATTTGAGAGGTTGTATTGACTGTCCTCGATTGGTAATTCGAATCTCAATTATATATATAAGATTCCATCTATGATCTAAGTGGAAATCTATATATTGTTTTGAGGTTCTACGGTTCTACACGCGCGGTATCGTTAAGCTATAGCATATCTTTCTCTGATCACATCGGATAGGAGCGTTTCTCCGAAGTACTATTGACATGTGAGACGGATCTGAGATATTCATGTGAGTGAGATACCTCGATCCGTCCATAATTTGCCTGTGGTTCTGCATTCGGATATGCATCGATGGACGTTCAAAACGTCCCTCCGGAACGAGATCATGCAGAGAAGGCTGGCGAATCTGACGTCTTTCCTGTGACGTAACCAGATACGGGAAAGTCTAGTAGTAGTCGGCTCAATCCTTCTCTTGAATAGCTGCAGAAACACATGCGGGCGCGACCCGCGGGGTTACTTTCCTTATTGTCATCGACAAAGGGGTTGATGTAACGTAGGGTGGGGGCGCCACAATGGCGGTGATGCTGCTCGCAATTTCCGCATCTCTAAGGTTGTGGCGTAGACCCGACTGAGTGGGAACATACTCCAGGGGTTTGTGTAGATCGTGTCGAACTATGTTGGGTATCCCTACTGGCACCCTCTCTCTTCACGGTTGGGGGATATCGTGCGTCGCCTGGAGTAAAGATGAAGCTGAGGCATGGAGCAGAATCTTCCGTCAAAGCAATTCCCCAGCATCTGGGTAGCGCAAGTCGGCGTTCTCTTCCAAGAATACCATCCACCGCTTGAGAAACCCGCTTCCTCTATTATAGAAGGCTATGTTAGCAAAGTCCCATGCAAAAAAATATTTGTGGGGGAACTCGTAGAGGGCCGAGGGGGTATCGTAGTCAAGGCGAAGAACTCACTTGCTGATGGTCTCCGAATCACCACAGACGCAAAGATGCCGTTTGGGGCGTGTCATAGCAACTAGTAGATTCGATCAGTATATATATCCAGCAGTGATAGAGGCATACATACCGTTCAGACGTCGCCTTTCTCCCAAGAAACCAACTTCATTCTCACTGTTACTTCGCACCAGGCTGACGACAACAGCCTCTTTCTCGCGACCCTGGAATCCATCCACACTGCCTAACTCGATACCCGGATACTTCTCCCGCAGCATCTGTGACAAGATAGCCAGCTGACCGTTATAAGGGGTGATGACAGCGATATCCTCCGGTTTCAACCCCGACTGCACCAGGTTGTCTACGTGCTTCGCAACAACCATTGCCTCCATTTCGTTGCTCTTACTCTCACCAAGAAGGGCCTCCTTTTGCCCGACCTCCTTATCATCCGTCTTTTCAGGGAAATCGCCTCCTTGAGTGTCCCAGAATACTAACGGCTCTTTTGTATCGTCGGTCTCCTCTACCTCGTATGGTAGGTCCTTCAGAAGACGTGCTTTTACCGCTTCGCCAGCCATCAGTTTAGACTCGTACAGCTCGTCTGACGGAAACCGCATGATTGTCTCGTGCATTCGATATTGTGTAGTTAGCATTCTTTTGATACCTTCACCATGGAGTGAAAGCAGTCGATCGAACATGGTCGTCTCGAGAGACATTTTCCCAAGAACTTCCTTGTCACCATCGTTGACAGTATCCGCCTGCCCTAACTTTGCATCTTTAGTCTTCTGAGCGGTGGACTTCACAGTTGGAGGCAATTGTAAATGATCACCCGCCAGAACAACTTTAGGTGCAGAGAGCAGAGAAATCCAACATTGCGCCTCCAAAGCTTGACTACCCTCGTCGATAATCACAACATCGAACTTCTGGTTCTTCAATTGATGCCCACCTGCCCCATGCAGAGTCGCAAGAACCACGCTGCTCTCTCTAACCAGATTATCGACGCATTTAGACTCTCGGTCCCTAAACTCCCGACGTAACTCTTTCAAATCCTGGTAAATCGCCCGCTTCTCCCTTCCAAACCTAGTCTTCCGAATACTAGCTACCTTCTGATCAATCTCCTTCCTAACATCCCTCACAATTGAGGCAGCATCGGACGTCTGCGTCAGAACCTCCAACGAATGCTCAAGGACAGACGGCAACAAACGCGCCGGATGACCAATACGCACAACAGGCACTTTCTTCGGCGCAAGTCTCTCGACAATGTTATCCACCGAGATATTCGAAGGCCCGCAAACAAGCACCTTTAATTTCCGCTGCACCATCTGCAAGATAAGCTCAATCAAGGTATGCGTCTTACCCGTACCCGGCGGCCCATGGATAAGCGCAATATCCCGCGACGCCAAAGCAAACCGAATAGCTTCCTTCTGCGAGTCATTCAACGTCGGGTCGTTGAATTCAACATCGCCCACAGCCTCATAATCCGGCGGCAGAGGCGTCGTATGTCCAAACGCAACCCGCATAAAATGCGTATGATCGGGCTCAGTCAACTTCCCCATTTTCTCCATCGTCTGCTTCATCCGTCGATACGTCACATCGTTCGCAAGCTTTATCAACCATAGCTTCTTCCCCCACAGCTCCTCGATCGCCTCGTCGTCTTCCTTGGATCGTCCCCCGCCTCCCTGTTGACCGAACGCAACCCAGACACTCCGCTCCCCGACCCGCGTAACAACGCCCTCCGGGCCCTTGGGTGGTCCTGTACCTGCTGGCTTCCCATCTTTACTCGCTTTGTCCTTTCCTAGTTTCTTCGCGGAACTCCCAATCTCATTCACCCGGACCACGTCACCCACGCGAATCCCATGCGCACCTAACCGAGGTTCTCCATCCTTCCCATCACCATCTGTATTCTTCGTATAAACAGCCGCATCGGCGCCGAATTCACCTACGACGCGGCCGCCGAGGCCGGTCCGGCATTGCGAGAGGACGATCCCCGTTAGCGCATAGCCTGTTGCTTGGAGCGTTCGTCTGGTAGAGGGTGAGACGGATGCAGCGGTGCTCGCGAGTGTGGAGGAGGAGACTTCGGCTTCGTGTTCTTGGAGAAGAAGCTGTTGCTGGGTTTGGGCGAAGAGGGGTATGGGAATTGGTGGGGGAGCCATGAGGGTTAGGTATGGTCGGTATTTATATAAACATTAGTTTCGTTGGAAAAATTGTGTATATTCTGACTCTGGAGTCAAGCTTGTCTGGTCGGATGCCGTTCCGTACAGTGTTGTGTAGAGCTTTGGGACGTTGGTTTGTGATGTTCGGAATTAAGAGCGAGCTGGTGGGGTTTTATGTCCGTGGGGGATGATTTCATAATTTGGTCTGCTTAGTCATGTGTTTACAACGTTGTAGGTAAATTTGATCAATGATTCTTGTTCGACTGGATTTAATTGGAAATATTAATTCCTTTCCGTACGATTGATGAGATCAAAATGAACATGGCCATATACATGGGCTCAGTACTTCTATCCATAACGCCCCAAAACCATGACAAATACTGGATCTAACAGCCTATATGGGAAGGATTTATACCAATGTGGAACGAAAACAAAACTCATTAACTAACTTTGAAAATACAATTGCGAACGAAAAGCAAACAACGAGTGGATAGAGTGTTCGAGAAGAAAAGAGACATTCACAAGCATATCCTCCATACTTTCTTAGTGTAGACAGCTGCGTCCCCGGAGATTAGGGTAAGCCATTGGATCTTCTCGAGGTGGCTTGTTGGTTAATGAATGTCTATCCACCGATTTCTGAGCTTGGATGACCTATGCAAGCCTGTGTAATATGGGTAAGGAACTTTGCGTCTCGAGCTCGAGTGCGCGAGGGGAATATTATGAAAAGTTTCGTTCATCTCATCTCATCATTAGACACTGGAAGACGAAATTCAAAGAATAGGCGAAAGATATGGGATAATCACGTGGTAAATAATATCAGCCAGGATCTGTTGGGCCCCAAACTGGGGTTTTATGTGTTCAGATGTTTTTGGCCAATAAATGGCATGTGGCTGGGTTTGGATCTTCCATGACATGCAAAACCCAGCACAGCCCGTTCCACGTCCTTTTCATATGAACGCTCATCCGCCAAATATACACGAAAGTCCCGGAGGCCGCGTAGGTCTACAAATGCCTTAAGAAGTTTGCGTAGGTATTTGTTCCTACTCTGAGTTGCTCCATTGCCATAGTTCTTCGTGCCAAGGTCGATGATTGTGAGGGACAGGTGAGGAATGTCAAAGTGTTCGCGGATAAAGCGGCGCAACACCGACCAAGACAGCAATGCTGCATCGTCCACCCTGTGAGCAGTTCTGGCAGGGCTTCGAAAGGTCAACGGGAACTTGAAAGTCAGGTGCCTGATCTGCATGGAGGACGACGTAGGGATATAATGCAGGAGTCTCATTATGAGCTCAGGGTCTTCATCCGTGAATGCAAAGTTGTTCTTTGAGAAAAAGACCCGACGGGCATCCTCATAGAATCCTCGGCTGACTAGAAAATAGGGAGTGGGTGAGGAGAAACAAGAACAGGTGGTGGAGAAGGCTGTTTGGCGAGCGTAGCAGAAGCACATGGCTCGCAACGGTGAGCAAGTCCCGCAACAAGTGAGGGGATAAATGGTCGGTCGTTGACGTCTGCGGTCTTGTAAAGTTACGAGGCCTTTCGGACACTCTGAAGCCATGATATAAGGATCAGGACGGTTGATTAGAAGTTGCTCAAGTATAAGAAGTTGAACCTCTTTTGGAAGTTGAAGGAATCTAAACGGAGGCCTATCTCCAAGGTTGTTGGTCAGCCGCCAGCAGGTTCGCTTGACCACAGCTCGAATGTCATTCTCCTGGTACTGATTGAGATGAATTGCACATTGGTCCAAAGAAGGGAAACAATCCATTGCGCACATCAATTTGTGCGCAACCTCTAGATCCTTAACCCTGCACTTCAGGCTGAAGTACGTGAGAGAAGGCATCTTCACCGCAGCCAAGTCACAGAAAGCGACCCACAACTTCATCATTGTGCGATGGACCCCTCCATATAGCTTGAGAAAGCGCCTATCACTAGGACCCAGGTCAATATGAAGATATTTTAAGTGGTCCACACCCCAAAGTGTCGCTTCACGGAACTTGCAAAAGTCTGCCTTCCTGTAGAGAGTAGCGCTGAATCTGTTGAGACCAAAAAACAAGGGACCAATTTCATCGCGGACGGCACGAGAGGTCTGGAACAATGCAGTGGGCAACCGAGGGTGAGTACAACCCCGGTCAACAAAGGCAGTCCATGACCCCTTAGTCTCACGCATGGAGCTGCGACTACACAAGGGTTGAAGAGTGGGGTTCCTTCGGACACACTCGCTAGTGATGTCAATCAGACAAGGGCGTAGCAATCCAGCATACTCTAGAATCTTGATCTTGGCAGTTTCTGGTAGACTAAGAAACGATGTACCCGGCTGGAATGAGAGACTCATCTCGACCTCCATAGCAGAAGGGCCACACAAAGAACATGGATTGGTTGACGGGGATTCCTCCCTGCTGAGGCTCTCCATAGAAGAACTTGGAGGGTTCAATTCATTGTACAATTGCCAAAAAGCCTGTTCATCGGGATCCAAAGTATCCATTTCGGGCCTATTGTGATTGTTTTGGCAGCACAACAGTCAGCAGGTTGCCAGGGAGTCATGAGGACGAGCAGTTGACGGTGAATAGGGATGGAGGGGTCTTACACGTAGTGAATGTGGATGTCAAAAGAGAGTCGCGTCGTAAGGAGCGCTTAATGGTTTAAGTTGATCATGAATCGCGATCAGATAGATATTCAAAAGGGAGAAAGGCAAGTTGGCTGGAGCATCACAAAGGAAAAGAGGGTAGGGAGGCAGCGAGGTTGACTACACGAGAGCAGGAAGAGTAGAGGAAGAGATTAGTCAAGAAATATTTGTCCATGTAACAAAAGTCAATAAGTTGGATGTCGGTAGTTCCCAACAGGGAAATCAAGTTGGAGCTAGAGTCTCGTGCCTGGGGCACTCAACTCACTCCCCCTCAATTTTTACTTCCACTCCGCCTTCAACACTCTCCTCCTTAGCATCGACCTTCCTGCTAGATACAAGGCCTCTGATCTCGCTTTTGCATAGTTTCGTCCCCGCGAGGTCACAATCCCCGCATTTCCTGCCTACTGGTAAGCAGACCGTCTGTCCCAGCCCGACAAGAAGCTTGTTGATCTCGTGCCATTTATCCTTTGGCAACCATGATTCCAGAGCCTTGCGAGTGTCCTCCGGTGTTTTTGTCTTGTTCCAGCCCCAGAGGTTCGTGATGCGATGAACGTGAACATCAACTCCAATACCTTCATGCTTTCCCCAAGCAGCGCTCATACAGAGATATGCCATCTTCGGACCTACTCCGGGAAGCTTCATTAACTCCTCAGCAGTCGATGGAATGTCGCCCTGGTACTGATCATGAAGAATGACAGCTGCGGCCTTGATATACTTGGTCTTGTTGTTATGGAAGCCCACCTTGCCGATCAATTCGTTCAGTCGCTCGGGGGTAACAGCCAGAATATTCTTGAGATTCAAAGTACTGTCTCTGAGGGGCTTTTCTAACTTGAATGTTTTCTCGTCTGGCTCTTCCTTGATCACACTGGTCTCTATCAGAGGAGCTTCGCCATTCCCAAGTTCAGTGTGTAACCGCTGCATCGCCACAGCCGTGACGGTGTCCTTCGTTTGGGAAGACAGCATCAGCGCAATGAGAGTCTGAAATCGTCGGTCTCGCGGAGACGAGGCTCGCCAATACAACTCGGCACACCCCATGGTATCCACCGGAGCAGTCGGGTTAGCCTCGCGCATCTTTTTGACAGTGGCGTATATCGTGTCCCAATTGGAGGGTGGCTCTACTTTGAATGAACCATCCTCTACTTTGATTTTTCGCGCAGGAACGCGGCGTGCCTTCTGTGCTACAGGCTCAGCCTTGACAGCTTTTTCAATCTTCTTCTCAGGAACCCTTGTTGAAGCTCGAGAGTTGATTTTCCGCGGTGGCGCAGTGTCTATGTTGCTTTTCTGGCGTTTCGCCGGGGGCTCCATTATATCTTCAATGTCCACCATGTTGAGAGACGAGAGAGATGATGTTTCATCATCGCTCGCAGGCGACTTCGTTTCAACATGGTCATTAGGACTTCCGTTATATGTAAGGCTGCGCAGCGCATTTAGATTGGAAGAACTACGCGTTTGCCGGCGCGCAGGAGGCGAGAGCGCCTGCAAGACTTTCTCCGTCTGCTTCGATGCTCGAGACGTTCGCATGGCGCAATATACAGGAATCTTATGTATATGTAGCTTTAAGTACGTTGTGACTTTCACATAGAATCAAGGATCGACGGAATTTTTAGGGGTTGGATAGGCTGGGTTGCCAAGCGCATCCACGCGGAGCGGACGATCGCAGAATCGCATGGGGAAGAAAGACCCACGGGACCGGTTGTTAAGCCTCGGCGCAATTCATGTCGCGGTGAGTAACCACTTAAGTTTTGCCGTGCGATTTACAGTACTTCCCCTTGCTTTTAATCCTTTTAGTCCCTGCCGACAACAGCAACGCCAAATCATTTTCAATTAAATTTCACATTCTGATTACTCCGAAAATAAACAAGCATCTCAGCGCGACAAGTTCGCGATCCACATTCCAGGTCACACCCCTCATGGCGTCATCCTCCACCATCAAACGCCTCCTCAGCGAACTGAAAAACTACACGAACAACCCGAATGAAGTGCTGCTCCACCTCGGACCCGTCGACAACGATGACCTCTTCCACTGGGAGGCAGTTCTCAAGGGTGTAAAGGGAACACCATACGAAGGTAGCAAATGACCAACCCACCTTGGCCGGCCCTCTCCGCATCGCCACTCCAGTTTCAAGTTAAAGAACCTTGACTAATGAATGACAATATAATCCAGGTGGCCTGTGGTCCCTCTCGATAGAGATCCCTCCAAATTATCCGAACGCACCGCCCACAATCCGCTTCAACACCCGAATCTCCCACCCCAATATCTCCTTCACCACCGGCGAAATCTGCCTGACGCTTCTCACAACGGAGCACTGGACTCCCGCGTATACGCTCTCGTCGACCCTGACGGAAATCCACCAGCTCCTGACGAACCCGGAACCGGACAGTCCGCTGAACGTGGATGTGGCGGTGTTATTGAGAGAAGGGGATATCCCGGCTTGGGAGAGTATCGTGCGGTATTGGACGGAAGAGGAGAGGTGGCAGGGTCATGAGTCTACTTCTTTTGCGCGGGCTTAGATTTGTTGCATGTGATTTGATTTTTAAATGAATGAGAGGAGACATGTTGGTGGTAGATGGGCGGCACCAACTTATTCCAAGTTTATATGTGTCTTTGTCCGTTTAGCTATGTCGGGATTACGATCAACCTATACATATATATATATATATATGTCTATACTACGCAGCAGATGAACCACGTCTTTTACAAGTTCCAAGAAACACAACTCCAGTAAATCTACCAATATCTCAATTGCTCAAGATCTGCAATGCAGAACAAAATCTAAATATGCACACGCTCGACAGAACCACATTTAAAGGAGTGACACCACAAACCCTAGACCCCTAACTTCAAAGGAGAGACACATGTCGGAAGAAGACGCCATTTATGCAAGGATCGTAAGCTGGCGTTAGAAAGGATAAATAACAACATAACAGTAGAATAGAATATTTTCGGAGGGAAAAGCCAAACGCCATTTATGCAGAAGAACAAGAAGAAGAAAACAATCCAGGTCAAATTTTGAAGAACATCATGTCCCGATTACAGCGCCATGGCCACGACAGCGGCACCACCGACCATGACGAAGAGTTCGCGGGTGAGATCGGTAGTAGGGGCTGCGTTATCAGTTTGCAGGCCTGGGGCGGCGCCAGTGGGAGTAGCGATGTCGGTTTCGGTGGGGTGCACGACGGTGATGGAGGTGATGGTGCTTCGTTCGCCGTTGGGGAGAGTGGTGGTACTCTTGTAGGTGGAGGTGTAGGGGGTTGTGTTCTTGGTTGTGTGTTCGGTGGTGGTGGGTTCGGGGCCGGTGGTGGTGGTTTGCATGGTGGTTGGGCCCTTGGTGGTGGTGGAGTCTGCGCTGGTGGTGGGCTTCTCGGTGGTCTTATCCGAAGTAGTCTTTTCGGAGGTGGTTGGCTTGTCGGTAGTGGTGGGCGAAGGTTGGTTGGTGGTGGTGGGTTTCTCAGTAGTCTTGTCGGAGGTGGTCTTGTCGGAGGTGGTTGGCTTCTCGCTGGTTGTAGGCTGCTCACTGGTGGTGGGCTTTTCGGTGGTCTTGTCCGAGGTTGGGGTAGGAGTTGTTGGCTTCTCGGTGGTGGTGGGCTCCGTGGTAGTGGGTTCGACGGTGGTCTTTTGAGTCGGCGTGGCCGTGGGCTCAGCTGAGGGGGTTGGTTCCGCCTGAGAAGTCGACGAGTCAGACGAGGAAGCAGAAGAAGCAGAAGAAGCCTCTGTAGTGGAAGAAGAGGAAGGAGAGGGAGCTTCAGTGGTGTGGGAGGAGGGAGCTTCCGTGGGGGAAGCGGGAGCTTCGGTGTTGGAAGAGGGAGAGGAAGCTTGAGTAGGAGAGGATGGTACTACAGCAGTGGCTGAGGGCTCTACAGCGGAAGAGCTGTTGTCCCTCTTGATTTTCAGCTGGGAGGAGAGCGAGTTATCCTCGGCACTGAGAGCGTCCACGGCTTCTTCGTCGGAGCGAAAGACGCCATGGCGGAACTTCTCGAACAAGTGAAGAGCCTTGTGGATGGATTCACCATCGATGTTCTCGAGATAGCTGTAGAAGTCGGACTTGTCGGACACGGTGCTAGCCTCGGACTCCACCTGCTCAGGGGCGGCGGTCGCAATCGCAGAGGATGCGACCAAAGAGAAGACAGCAATCTTCAAGAGACGATTCATGGTGACTGTTGGTGTCGGATGAGAGGTCGAAGTATACCTCAGATGAGTCGGGTGGTTCTTTAATAGAAAAAGAAGCTGATTGGTAGGTGGGCGGATGGGCTGATAGGCAGAAAAAGGCAAACCAGTTTGGAATGCAGTTCGTATCAATTGGAAAATGTCGGGAACCCCTTGTCGAGTCGGTTGAAACCACAAAAAAAGTAAATTTAACCAAAGAGGTGAATTAAGAACAATGGAGTGAGTGAGAGAGAGAAAAAGGATGTGGAAGAAAAAGGGAAAAAAGAGGCAAGGGTTGGACTTAACAGCGAACAAGGCCTTTTTGTTGTGTTCAAGTCAGGTTTCAAGCCTGATAATGGAACCTCATTCAGCCTTAGTCCGATCGTTAGTTCGTCGGCTTCGGATCCGCCAGAAAACTGGAAAGTAAAAAAAAAAAAAAAGAATGACAGGAAAAGAAAAAAAAAGAAAAAAAGTTTTTTCTCCAATCGAGGAACAGGCAATGTAACAAATCACATTGACAGGAACGGTGGGTCTCCCTCGTGGAAAGCCACTAGAATTAGACCTTAGAAGACTTAGGACACTAGAAATAGCAGTCCATTGCCGACTAAGAGGATACTAAGAGGATACTACTACGGACTAGTATTGTTAAAATGGTTGCCAGTGGTACCCATGGTCTGGGTACACTAAATTCAGCAGCAAGTGGCAATGCACCGGTGCGAACTTGGCTTCTCTTTAAGTATGTCAGCAAGTATGTAATTGGAATGACTTGAATAAATCTCCTCCACGTCTCCTCCAGTGGGCGACGTCAGCACTAAGCCCAGTGTATGTATGCATGAGGTAGAGAAAAAGCGATAGGTTGTGCGGTACGGTAACAACTTTCTGCACGTCCATATAAATAGCTATCAGATGCGAGGTCAAAGTCAATCATCATTCGTCCTTGCATGTCTCAGAGTTCAAGGCCACCTGGAAAAAGTAAAAAAAGGAATACGGTACAGAAAAAGGCCGAGATCCTACCGAACAACTGATACGAGAGAATGATGACACCACTCTGAGATCAGAAGACGAGAAAAGTCCCCACTTAGGTTCAAGAACTTCCATCGCTACCAAAGACTCTTTACCACAAAAGGACTCATTAGTTGTACTATAGGACGGAGGACCTCGACAACATCTGTGATCTTCTCGTATTCTGTTAGGATTATCCATCTTGGAGAAAGGGGAACGTATCGATCTCAAAAAGATAGCCGCCCCCATCTCGTCAGCCACTATTGACGAGACCATTTGATCATGATCAACACCGGTTTTCTTCATCCACCTGGAGAACAACCAACAACCCCCCCTGGTTCCTAGACACGACCTCGGTTGAGGCAAACTCAGGAAAGGTTACATCCTTTGTCAATTTTGGGTCCTCAACAGGTACAATGGAGACACACAACCACCGGAACAGGTTCTTAATCAGGAATTCAATCGATCTCCGCATTCGGAAAAGAGCCGTTCTGATTTTAGGTCCGACCGAACCGGGTGCCGGATCTGCCAAGTGTTCATCCGAAACTAGCCTGTGGCTGTGCGGTCGTTGCCATTGGTTGCCTCTGCCAACGCCCCAACAGCTTCTTGCTGTAGGGCCGGAATTTAGTTGCTAATCCTTGAAGTCACGTGTTATGGTTGCATGTCGAGAGATTTGCTGACTCATTTGGATCGGGTTTAGCTAACTATGGGGTAGTTGGTTGGTTACTAACTAACTAGTTAGTAGTCACCTCATTGCGATCTACATCCAGCATTTAGGTGCTTACCCTAGCCAAACGGAATGATTCAACCTTGAGAAAAGGGGGTTCGGATCTAAACCGAATATGGGGACGAATACAAAACAATATTAGTTAGATCGAATGGTACTTTGCTCGGGTCAAATACTTGTTTCTTTTTGTGTCGTCCTAAACAGTCGTTCGTGAAGATAATTAGTACATCTACGGAGTAGTACGTCTCTGCTCTTGCTACAACTTGCAGTTGCATTGCCCAGGTACCACCACGTGGAGGTGCAGAGTCCGATTTCAGCACCCTTCCCCCTCTTTCCGTTGACATAAAGGTTGATCACGCTATGTAAAGCTGATACTTGCATGGTTGGACCTTCCAAAATCTATATCTATAGTTTCTGTGCGACCTCGTAAGGGTCAAATATTAGATAACTCTATATAACATTTGAGAAGATCCTTTTAGAGCTAGATTTGAAGGTGTACAAGTATTGAAAGAATGTTATTACTTTGGATGAGTTCAAACCGAAAGAATTTGATATCTGATATAGTATTATCTACATCTGGACCGGCATTAAACCTTTTTCCCCATGTCCTAATAGTTACTCTTGGTAACACCTTTTGGATATGGCAAGTGTTGTGACCACCCCGGCAAAAACTGATTCTATGAAACACGAGACAAATACTCCATGCATGCAACGTGTTGATGTGTTATGAATCTCCAACACTGTGTAGCAGAATATTTGCTTTCATACAGTTTAGTCCTATGTGGCTCTCGAGTTCATATATAGTGAATCTAGATGATAGAAGTATGCATGGACGAATCTGGCCAGTATAAACAATGGCTATAGGGCCCGTGTCTTAGTACATCGTACGGGTTAAGAACATCTACCATGGAACGTGGGGCTATATGAACCGTAGGATGCATAGCTTTATCGACGCATATTGTGTTCTATCAGTTCTACGTAGATTACCCCTCATCTTCATCCTCCGCCCAAGTGTCACCGGTCAACTTCCTTTCATTTGATCCTGCACGCTACTGCTTCTCTGCCTCCTCTTCGTACTATCAGGTCATCTCTCTCCTCAGAGTCGACGAAATGACCGACAATACCTTTTTTGATGGACGGGAAGGTCGAGAGGTTCACTTTTGGGACGGGCCTTCAACATGGACCTTGACTGGACTTATCAGAGAAAAAAACAGTCAAGTAAATGCAGAGGACTACTACAAGTATGGAATTATCGGGGGCGCTTATGGCACCTTCTTGTGCAAGAATTGTATGGGCAGTACTCAATGCGCCATAATGAAAGTATTCAAGCAGTATGTTCTACCATCCAGGCCCTACGAAATTTCAAATGGCTGACAGATTCCTAGAGTTCCATTTGAGGGATCTGAGTACGCGACGGCTCAACAAAGGGGTGATCAAGCCTCTCAGAAGCTTGATTACGATATCACTAGTCAATTAGGGGCACTCAACACCCTAACAAACAAAGGCTGCCAATCCACCCCCCGTGTTGTGTCCATGAAAGTTGAGCACCAGAAGGATACGGATTCAGTACCGGGCGGCTATATCGTTTACCTCCTTTTGAGCCAAGTACCCGGACTGCAATTCAGCAAGGCGATCTTCTGGGACTTCGAGTACCCAGTGCGTGAAAAGATCCGCCAAGCGTTCAGGGCCGCCAGGATGTAAGTATCGAACGCCTTTTATCGAGATACAAATTTTGACTCTTCTTCGATCATCCAGCGATTGTGTTAGCTTAGGCGTTGTACCAGTGCTCCAAAACATAGAGCATGTCTTCTGGCATGCAGAGGAGAACAAAGCGTACGTCATAACTCCTGTTGGCAAAGAAAATGAGGCATCCTTGGGCATTGCTAACAGTAAACGCTGTCTGATAGTTACATAATTGGTTTTAGAATGAGTGAGCAGGCAAGGGAAGAGGACGTGTGGCGGGACACTCGGTGGATCGCTTGGAATATGGCCAAGCTTCGAGATGACTATCGCTGGTATAAGGAAAAGAATCCTCATCCAGACATGAGCAATTGGATACTGTGAGCCTGTTCGGGGGCGCCTGTTTTGGTTTTAGCGATAAGTTTCGAATTGACTCGGTAGTATTAGTATTCAACGGAAGTCCTTCGAGATTGAAAAAGGTACCGACCGATTTCATTAATTTTGAGTGGGTGTTTTCGAACCTGCGAACCGATCTGTGTGATGGGTCTGCTATAGATATACAATCTTCCGCCGCTCTCCGCCAAACATTGCACTCAATACTCAACATTGCTTCCCTCTGTTATAGGATTTATCCCCAAGTTATCTTGCCAACACAGAGAGTCTTCTTATGAATCTATCAGAATCTAATTTCAAGGAAAGATTGCGTGGGTGACACGTGACGGTGACTTACAAATATACTACACACGTAGTATTTGTACATGTATACATAACGTACAAGTCCATTCAAACTGATGACCTCGCAAAGGTCTCAGAATAGTCATATAGGGACGCTAATGGATGCTATTTAATACATACATTGACTTCCCAGCTGTATAGTGCATACTGCACAAGCAAACCTAAAGCTTTACGCCACCATCTGCTGTTCATACTTCCCCTGTCAAGTCCTCTCGATGACCCCAAACCACTCACCCCATCCGATAATCTTGCCTTCGATCTCTCGCGCAATTTCGTCAAAAGTCGCCATAGGGCTGAGTTTGCTTTGGTCGATAGTATGGTTAAGCGCGATGAGCTCGAAGAAATATCGGTGAGGGCCCTGGCCCCGAGCTGGTTGGGGCGCCAGATAGACCCCTCCTCCGCTGTTTGCCCCATACTTGAACCCACCGCGAAGACGATAAGGATCGTTCCTGGAGTCCGCTTCAACGAAGTCGGAACGGTGCAAACCGGTGAATACTGGCGGGATTCCATAGTAAAGTCCATGGATAACTGGTGCGGCCAGAGGTTCGTCGGGGTCTTCGCACACCAGAACGTATTCCTGCGTGTCTGCCGTGGTGATGGGCCATCGCAGCTCTGGGAAATATCCGCTACCGTTGTAGGCGTGTGCGATATCCATGCGCGAACCTGACGCGCCGAGTTCTGGGCATTCAATGAAAAATGTAGGGTAGGGATAAGCGGCGAATGCGGGCCTTCTTGTGAAGAGTTTGTCTTCGTGCCCTTTGGCCCCAGTCAGGAGGAGGGAAAGAAGACAACCGATTCCGTAATGGATGTAATGCATCTAATACGTCAGAATCTTGCTCACTTGCCATGTGAATTGTCTGGTTTACCTTAACAGATGAAGAGTATGGTGCCACTCAATCCGAAAGTTAGGGATGATTGGGGAGAGTGGGACGATAATGCTGCGAGTGTTTTGTGGGAGATTCCGGGCATGAATACAATCGAGACTATTAACTTGCAGCAAGAGTCTTACAAGGAAGGTGCTAATTTGTGGTAGCCATTTTGACTATGAGCCTCGAGGTTGAGCTCGCAGCTTCCTTTCGCATTGTGATAGTCTCAGCCCGGGTAAATCGTGTGATATATCACGATCAATTCACAAGGAATGCCATTATTCCTTTAATTTTCATAGTATCTTTCTATATTATAAATGTTTTCAGAAGAATTGGAAGTTCCATAATGATAGTAATGGCTAGACGCTTGGGCCAGCTTTAATTGTACCCATTAGTCAAAGTTTTGTCCAATGCGACGCCAATTAAGTTAGTGGTTCGACATGGCCCGACACTGCCCGTTGGCTGCTTGGCTTTTGCGGGGTGACAGAACATATGAACATTAGTATATGCTATACGAACCATATGAATGCCGAGGTACCTTATACCAACTCCACCTCTACCATACAACGTTACATCTACATCAATGATACTTTTATAAAGCCCAGGGAACCATGATATACATCAATTAACTGCCCTCTACTATCCACCTAATTCAATCCATCAACACCAACCCCGCAATCCCAACGCATCATGCCGAAACTCGAAACCCTCTGGGCCACCATCGTGACGACCTACAGCCCTACAACAATAGAATTCACAGGAACCCTCCTAATCCAAATCCTCACCTTCTGGCTCCCCTCCCTAATCTACCTGGCCCTACCCACTGTATTTCCCACCTGGTCAAGCCAGCACAAAATCCAACCGGCCCCAAAACAACCCACCAAAAAAGAAATCCACCACTGCCTAAAGATCGTCCTCCGCAACCAACTCATAACCACAACCCTCCACCTAATCCAACTAAAGCTCCTAAACAACAACACCTCCTCCTATACCCTCACCCCAACCTTCCCAAGTCTCCCAATCCTAGCCCGCGACTTCATCCTCAGCCTGCTCGCCCGCGAAGCCCTCTTTTACTACGCGCACCGCTTCCTCCACCGGCCCTTCTTCTACGTCCGCATCCACAAACAGCACCACAAGTTCACGGCCCCCATTGCTCTCGCCGCGCAGTTCGCTCACCCCATCGAACAGATCTTCGCTAATGCGCTGCCTATTTCCCTGCCGCCGCAGTTGTTGGGTAGTCATGTGTTAACTTTTTGGGTGTTTTTGGGGTATGAGTTGTTTGTGACGGCGACTGTGCATAGTGGGTTTGATTTCTTCGGTGGGAAGGCGAAGATGCATGATTTGCATCATGAGAAGTTTAATTTGAATTATGGGAGTATTGGGTTGTTGGATTGGGTGCATGGGACTGATCGATTGGAGAAGAGGAGGGCTTAATTTATTGTGTGTTCCATTGATTAATTGATTTAGCTGGTGTGAGGTGAGATGTGGGTTGGTGGTGATGTACGTGGGTGCCAGATTGATTGTATATAAATATGTACCGTGTAGGACGGTTTGAGGGTGGGTGTATGTATATTCTACAAGATAGAGACGGAGCAATTGTTGTGTGAAGGTAGTGTTGAGGATTAATTCAATCTGTACGGGGTGGATGCGTGCCTAGTAGATAGCGGATTAATCTTGATATATCAATTCGCCTGTGCTTCTCGTAAGCTGAGAGATATATATCATTGCGCTCTGTGGAGAGGAAAGGTGATTGGGGAAATTGCTTACATGGAAAACAAAAGAGAGAGTGGGAATTAAAAAGAATGATATTGTCCAAACACATGTACACAGTGGAATTGAGATAGAAAGAACGATTTATAAAAAGGAGCTAAAGTAAGTGAATAAGTAAGTCGTACTGAAAATCAAAAAGATAAAAAAAAAAAGATATTCCGGTGCGGGGAATCGAACCCCGATCTCCTGTGTGAAAGACAGGTATGATAGCCGTTACACTACACCGGATCTTGTTGAGAGAATGTTCTCTTTTACTAATTATAATTTAACATACATAACTAACAAAATTACCTGAAGCCATCCCGCTCCTCTCAACCGAGCACAAGTCCAGACTTGCGCCCATTGCGGATCTAGAACTCCGCTCGCGGTCGCACAAATTTCCAAGCCGTGATTCTGGATCCGGGTCTATGGGGTTCCGTTTCTTGTTCGACAGAATAAGAGATTCCGGAAATGAAAACTATACAAAAGTCTTGACTACGGGGAGTGAGTGGATATATTGTGATCATCGATGTGATGGAGTCTTGTTTCTTGTTTATCTCTTGTTGTGTCTCTAGTCAAGGCTTGTTTCGACAGTGCAATTATTGAGTGGATGGATAGGGGGTGGGAATATATATAGTGGTTGGGGGCCAAACAGTTTATTTTCTTCTTGTTCTTTTTGTGCAGAATTATGTGTCCTTCGTACTCTGAAACCGTTACTCTTCAAGTCATAGTGTTTGTTCTCATTACTTTATCAAATCATACTCCGTATCCGTACCGAGTATGGAAATCCGAAAAAATCGAGCGATGTGAAACATACCTGACGCCCCGGAACTCTGGTACGGTTTTGGGTGTGTGTGCCTGGGGACTTCAATGTCGGGTACAGTTCCGCATTGTTGATTGAGGAAAGTGGCTCGAGAAACGCCGACGGAACCGGATTCGCCACTGCGGGCGGTCCCCTGGCCATGGACCATGGGCGGAGACCTATTTTTGGCGAGGTGATAACCACAATTGCCATTGGATAGAGAGATAGATGATGTGGGCGGTTCATTATAATTATGGTCATTGCTTTTGATTAAGCAATTTGATCTCGTTTAGACAGTCTGGCGATGCTTGATTTCCTACGTTGGTTTCTGAGTGATAGAGATCTGGACTGGCTTCGAGACACACTCGTACGCTTATCGTCTGGTTGAGAAACAATTCTTCTGCCTGTATGTGCTGGCGTGTCTCAGATGAAAACCACATGCAAACTCAAATGTACTGTCGACTATTAATAGTCGGAGGGGCAGGTGCTGCAATCTGACGCCACAAAATATGCCATGACAAAGCCATCCATATTCTGTCATTGAGGAGAGTGGCAGGTTGGAATGCGATGACGGATGGGTTGATTTAAAGTGGCATACGGATAGGATAATATAATGTCCAAGGGCAAGAGGAGAGAGGGGACCAAACCCCCTATCTTCCTTGTTCATGTTAGCATGGTGTGACAATCCTTGGGTCAATTGAAGGGATCTTCACGCTCATCAACCTGGGACGGAAGGTGAGAGTGTTTATCCTGGGAATTGACTCGTTTATCCCGTGCGGTAGAGTTTAGTCATGGGGAGAAGACAAGACCTCTGTTGTCTTGAGGACTGTTACGATTACTTCTTTCGTCGACCTGTTTTTTTTTTTTTTTTTTTTATTTACTTATTATTATTATTATTATTATTATTTTTTTTTAATAAAAAGGAAAAAGTAAATTAATGGACCTATTTATTTTTTTCTTGTGTATCCGTACCCAGTGTAAACAAATCATAGATCACAATTGCAGTTTGTTGTGCAGTCTGGAATCAGGGTGGGAGCAGGGATCAGCCAACCAAGAGGTCAGGGTCTCAGGGATTTCGATGGGTCCAGACCCACTGACCAGACCAAACAATTCCCCACCGCGGCAAGCCATCTACATTCCACTTCCTTCACTTGTCCTGTCCTTCCTTCTGTGCTTCCATGTGTGTCCACTTCGCCGTTAATGATTGATTGAACCGGGGCAAGTCCCTCAGCTTGAGTGGAAGAGGGATAGCCACTCAGAGCCCCCGATGGGGGGTAATTTGGGGCAATTAGCGACACACACCCTTTGACCCTGGGCCGATCCCCTCCATTCCTGGGACCAGTGGGAGATCTCAGTGAGCATTAATCTCAAGGGTTTCAGGGCGGATGACGAATGCTTCGGCCGTTAGCGGCGGTTGATCCAGCTTGGCTTTTGTATGTAACTTACCATTGCCATTGCTATTCTCGTCCCACGCGAGCTCATCTGCTGCGAAAATACCGGTAATTGGTGATACCCCATGCTGGCAGCTGCCCCAATGCTGGTGCGAAACTCAGGGATGCAGACCCTGCAACGCTGGTTGGCTTTAAGCCGTGCCACAACCCCCCTTCCTGAACCTGCCTCTCTTCTGCATCCCTTCTTCTTCTTTTCCTTCGTACTTCTTCTACCCAACCACCCCAGTCATTCGTTCAGACTTACCACGTTCAACTTCGTTTCTTCGTCTTCTATACTTATTTTCTGTAATTCTTGGACCGTAAGAGGGTCTTTCGGTCGTATATTAAATCCACTCTAGACGGATCTCGCCATTCTTTTCGAGCCGTCGCAATCAACTCCAGTCGTTTGATACATCAATCAGTTTCATTTTCATCATGAAGGGTTCCGCCATCGCGACAACCCTCACCTTGGGTGCCTCCGCTGTCCTCGCCGCTCCTTCCATCAAGGCGCGTGACGATGTGACTGCGGTTACCGTGAAGGGAAATGCCTTCTTCAAAGGTGACGAGCGGTTCTACATGCGTGGTGTCGACTACCAGCCCGGAGGCTCCTCCAAATTGTCCGACCCCATCGCCGATCCCGAAGGCTGCAAGCGTGACATCGAGAAGTTCAAGGATCTCGGTCTGAACACCATCCGTGTCTACTCCGTGGATAACTCCAAGAACCATGACGAGTGTATGAACGCCCTGGCGGATGCTGGCATCTACCTGGTGCTCGATGTCAACACTCCCAAGTACTCCCTCAACCGTGCCAACCCCAAGGTCTCCTACAACGAAAACTATCTTCAGTACATCTTCGCTACTGTCGATGCCTTTGCCGGCTACAAGAACACTCTGGCCTTCTTCTCCGGTAATGAGGTCATTAACGACGGCCCCTCCTCCAAGGCCGCCCCATACGTCAAGGCAGTCACTCGTGATCTCCGTCAGTACATTCGCAGCCGCAACTACCGTGAAATTCCTGTTGGATACTCTGCTGTAAGTTGACCCTATCCGTCGGAGTATGAGGAACCGGGTATTGATGTACTATCTGATCAGGCCGACATCGACACCAACCGTCTCCAGATGGCCCAGTTCATGAACTGTGGTACTGATGACGAGCGTAGTGACTTCTTCGCTTTCAATGACTACTCCTGGTGTGATCCTTCCTCCTTCAAGACGTCCGGCTGGGACGAGAAGGTGAAGAACTTCACTGGCTACGGTCTCCCCCTGTTCCTTTCTGAGTACGGCTGCAACACCAACAAGCGTCAGTTCCAGGAAGTCAGCTCCCTTTACAGCACCGACATGACCAGCGTCTACTCTGGTGGCCTGGTCTACGAGTACTCCCAGGAGCCCAGCAAATATGGTCTTGTTGAGATTAACGATAACAAGGTGAAGACTCTTTCTGATTACGATGCTCTGAAGTCGGCCTTCGAGAAGACCAGCAACCCCAAGGGCGACGGTGGCTACAACCAGACCGGTGGTGCCAACCCTTGCCCCGCCAAGGACTCCCCCAACTGGGACGTTGACAGCGATGCTCTGCCTGCTATCCCCGAGGGTGCTAAGAAGTTCATGAAGGACGGTGCTGGCAAGGGTGAGGGTTTCTCCGGCAAGGGTAGCCAGAGCGGTGGTGGTAGCACTTCCACTGGCACTGCCGAGCCCGGCTCTGGCTCTGCTACCGGCAGCTCTGGCAGCTCCTCTGGCAGCTCCTCCTCGTCCTCATCTGCTGGTGTCATGAACATCCCCAACATGTCCCTGGCGCCTCTCGTCGTTGGCATGGTCACTGTCATGTCCACTTTCGTGGGTGCTGGTCTTGTTCTTGTTTAAACCTTGAGTTCGTGTCCTGTGAGCTTGAATGGTTTTTGTTTCATGATTTTCTTCGATATCATTTGTTTCTGTTGGTATCCCGATGGATTATTTAAGGTGTATATCCAAATTGACGAAACCTGTCTTTGGCGTTAACTTGGAATGGGACGCCGGCAGAAGGCTTGTGACTTTGTACAGTTTGTACAGTTTGTTGGCACACAATTAGCCAGTTTCCATGTGTCAGTATAGAGCATTAATTGAACGATTCAAACCCCTTTCAAGTTACTGTGGTCTATCCCAACTTGGCACAAAGTGCACAAGACGGTATACTGGCTAATCTATCGAACCAATTGCAAATCACATAGGATGATCTTAGCTAACGAATATGACGCTGTAAATGCGAAGAAAGGATAGTGATGATGGGGAGGATCAGCTAGCGTAGAACTTCGTTCCTCTGAAAATATGGTGTTGTCTTCTATTTACACGCGTTGTTCTTATTCACTGCTTCAGAATCTTCTAATCAGAGGGACTTGCCCCCTTTTTTACCCTCTTAGTTTGTGACGTCAAAATGAACACGGAGCAGGGTAGTGTTATGTATATTCCAGAATATATAGGTATTATATACCAAATTTCTTTCCGGTATAATATCGACTATCTTATTCCGATTCTTTGGGGTGCGTTTTACGGCTTGTTTATTACTGATCTCAAGCTTAGGTATTTCTTATCTGGAACGCTATATAGGGATCGGACTAGCTTAATCTGTGTACAGATAGCTGTATATCTATATACCCTTACTAGATCGCACCGGTTCGATTCGGTAGTAGGTTGATGTTATTCTCTTTAACTATCTGACTGGTCCTATTTGACAATGCTCCCTCCTTCCTTTCCTGATACTAGATAGATGATGATCGCCAAGAAATGAAGAAAGGTGATCTTGGCTGGGTTTAGTGGAGTGAAAGGTTATCGAAAGGAGGTGAGGTGGAGCGTAGTCTGTAGAACTGATATAACACAATAAGCGTTTACTTATGCTACATGATGCTTTCTTTATTTCTTTCATCAAAACCCCACCCAGAGAATTCACTGTCTCGGAGCTGACCTGCCGAACCCTTGCCCTAGACCCTAAAAACGGTGCCTGAATCATGAGCCCCACTCGGAGCGGACCGAGTACACCTCCTTTGAATCCTCTCATTCTCTTGATACTCTCACAGTCACAGATCGATCTGTTTACTCCGTACGTAGCAACCCATCGGCTATGAATGCTCACGATGCTCAATTACCGGCATGACTCGTCTATATCTATCGGTCTCGGCATCATGGTGTCCTCAATCTACCGAAGTACTCCGATCAACCTGAGTGCGATCGGCCCTCACTTGCGTGGGTAGTTCCCATTGACCAGGGCCTTAAGGGTACTTTCGCTCTCCGGCCTCAATTTTCAAAGATAGCGCCTGTCAGGACGCAATTTAACCTTTCAAGGTTTGCCAGCGAAATAAGAATTCGGTAAAATTCCGGGTGATTATCTCCTGGGGCAATCTCTTTTCATTTGGTCCGGTTCACGGTCCTGGGATACGGAGACCAATGAAGTCGGGCGGTTTAGTGATCAATCCACAGCAGTAAGAACTATTGAGAATGGTGTTTCGTCTAGATGGGCTGGGCGATTAAAGCGCTATAGGGCATAATACAACTCAAACGGCCGCTGTCTATCGGTGAAACCGATGTCTTCATTAGCTCTGCTTGGCATGTCCACACCGTTGCACTTGGGCCACTTGTGGTCCCGCTCCAAATTGCTTAACCTGCAATGGACCAACGGCATTTCTTCGATATGGAAGAAACAGGCATGGATTCCGTGGACATGGATACTTCACGCGTGGTTTGGCTCAGACAGTTCCCACAATTTCAATTTGCCCAGTGCATTAGTTTCTTTCTCCCAACCGTCCTTCAATATCGTAGCGTATATGGGTTGCCTGGCATGATTGCCCCGTGCCGTGAAATCGGCGGGTTATCTCGATTTTATATGAATGCCAGCAACTGCCCGGGCGGCTACTCAGCTTGCTTTCCCTACTCAACTGTCATTTTCTTTCCTGTCATTCTTTTCGGCCATACCGCCGTCACTCTTTTTTTTTTCTGGGCTGCTGCTGGGCCAGCTTGTCCCGTTCCCTTCATTACTGTCGTTATACTCTCATTCCTTCTTATTTGTGACCTACTTTTCATTTCTGTCTGTATTTCTGGTAAATTAAGAGACAATGCGTTCCTCTTTCTTCGGAGGCCTCGTTGCCCTGAGCTCGGCGCTCGGCGCTGCGGCCATGAACTACAACTCTTCCGCTTACAGTGATTCGACAACCGGTATCGACTTCCAAAGATGGTGCGATGAAAAGACCGGCTTTTGCTTCGGCTTGGCCCTCCCCGAAACGGTTGATTCCGACTTCATCGGCCAGCTGGTTGTGCCTCTTTCGTCCTCCAACGGATGGGGTGGTGTGAGTCTTTCGAGCTCGATGACCAAGGCCCTTTTAATCGGAGCCTGGCCCAACGGCGACTCCGTCGTCTCGAGTCTGCGTGAGGCGCAGTCTTACACCAACCCTGATGTCTACAGCGGAGATGCCAGCCTTGAAGAGATCCCCGATGGAACTGCCATCAATAGCACTCACCTTACCTATACCTTCCTGTGCCGCAGCTGTGTCGTTGGAACGCCCACCACCTTCGGTAAGGATATGGACAGTTACTTCTTCGGCTGGGCTCTTAGCAAGACCAGCCCCAAGTCCCCTGCTTCTTCCGATGCTACTCTGAACTACCACGCTGCTGGATTCGGTAGCTTCCAAATGGTCCTCTCCGACGCCAAGTCCGCCAAGTACTCTACCTGGGCCTCCAAGGCTAAGGCGTCTTCCACTACCACCACCCCCTCCGCCTCTGCCTCCGCTAGCCCTAGCAGCACCCCCTCAGCTAGCGCTGTCCCAACCGTCTTGAACTCGACTTATGACTACATTGTTGTGGGAGGTGGTCCGGCTGGTATCATCACTGCCGAGCGATTGGCAGAGACCAAGAAGAAGGTCTTGCTGATTGAACGTGGTGTTGCTCCTACAGTGCAGATGGGTAACAAGAACGCTCTTTCGTGGAACAACTCCCTGACCCCTCACGATGTTCCCGCCCTTGGTAGCTCCCTTTCCAAGCTTGGCCTCCTGGATGACTATCTTTGCGATGATACTGCTGGTATGGCGGGCTGTGTTCTTGGTGGTGGCACTATTGTTAACGCTCTTGCGTTCATCTACCCCCAGGAGGCCGATTTCAACGACAAGTGGCCTGCCGGCTGGAAGTGGGACGATGTCAAGGATGCCGCTTCCCGTTTGTATGAGCGTAACCCTGGTAGCATTCTCCCGTCCGCTGATGGCAAGCGCTATGACTATGGCATGTACAATGTCCTCGGAGGCTTCTTCAAGGGCCTCGGCTGGAAGTCGGTCAACCAACACGAGCAGCCGAATGAGAAGCACCAGGCTTATGGTTACCCATCCTGGTCCGTTGCTAACGGCATTCGTGCTGGCCCCGTCCGTTCTTACCTTCCCTTAGCTCAGGAGCTCGACAACTTCTCCCTCCGCCTTCAGACCAAGGTCCGCCGTCTGGTACGTCGCGGTGGTCGTGTCACCGGTGTCGAGGTTGAGACTGAATCTGGTGCCGTCGAGATCATCAACATCCGTGCTGGTGGCAAGGTTATCCTGGCTGCTGGTTCTATGTCTACCCCTCGTGTCTTGTTCAACTCGGGTATCGGTCCTGCTAAGCAGATCGAGAATGTGAAGAGCGGCTCCACTGGCATCACCGTCCCTGCCCAGGAGGAGTGGATCAACCTCCCCGTCGGTGAGAACCTGAAGGACCACCCGATGTTCACCATCAACGTCCACAGCAAGAGCAACTTCACTGCTTTCAACACCTCCAGCGTCATTTCTGGCCCGGCTGCTGCTGTCCAGCAGCTCTACTCTGAAGGCTCCGGTGTGTTGTCCGAGGGTGGCCATCGTCTGCAGTTCTGGACCTCCAATCAAGGCAGTGATGGCAAGACCCGCTTCTACCAGGGATCTTGCAGTGTCGCCAGCGATGGTGTCATCACCATGAAGCTGTACTTGACCCACGGTGCAACCTCCTCTGGTGTCCTCGGAATCGGATCCTCCGGAGCCACCGTCATGGAGACTGAACCCTGGTTGCAGACCGATGCGGACAAGGAAGCCGTCACTCAGTTCCTTCAGGGCCTGCTGAACGATATGAAGAATTCGACCGCCGGATTCACCGTCCCCGACTTTAACTCTGCGGCCGACATCATCGCGAAGAAGACCAGCGGTGACCACTTCGTCGGAACCACCAAGATGGGTACCGACGACGGCCGCACCGGCGGTACCTCCGTCGTCGACACCAACGCCAAGGTTTACGGTACTGAGAACTTGGTAAGCTTTCCAATCCCATATTCAACCCGGATCCGCACTAACATAAACGTAAACTAGTACGTCGTTGACGCCAGTATCCACCCCGACCTGCCCACCGGCAACACCCAAGCCATCGTCATGATTGCTGCCGAGGCTGCCGCCGCCAAGATCATCGCTGCTGGCGACTCCATCCCTGCCTCCAGCGCGTCGGTGTCCGCTCCCATTCAGAAGACTGCCTACCCCAGCAGTGCTGTCAGCAGCAGCGTCGTTACCAGCGCGTCCACTACTCCCGCTGCTTCCTCTGCGGCCGCCGAGTCCACCAGCGACTGTGACGAGACCTTCACCACCACCGTCACCCCCGCTGAAACCGCTGCCCCCACCCATGCTCCCGCTGGTAGCACCACCAGGGCCGTCCTCAGCTCCACTTCTGCTGCGGCTGCTGGCACTACCTCCGCCGCAGATGCCGCCTCCGTCACCGTGGTGACTGTCACCAAGCAAGTCGTGGTCACGAGCACTACAACCATCACTGTTCTGCCTACCTTCGCCTAGATGGTGAGCAGCAGTGTCATCGGGGAGATCATGCACCGTCATGTATATGCGCATTGACTCCGAGATGACTGGACCTAGCCTTTTTCTTATAGATATTGTCGGTATAGAGTTTTTCAATGAATGTTTTCATCCAAATGTGTACTCTGACCCTTTTACGTAGAACCGACACAGGATATCTAAAATTAGTGTATATGGTACGCTGAGTAATGTACTTAATCAAACGCCCTTGCACCTTTCCCAAAGCCCCTCGCCACACTAGATGCAAGATACCTTGAATGAACATCAGCATAGTGTTCATCTCTCTCATGGAGTGACATAGTCATAATACCAGCTACATTCAGGGGGTCATTCTTATTCTCAGCGAGCAAGCACGAACTAGCGGCTCACTCAGCCTTGTATAGGTATTAAACGTCATTATTAATGTATAAAATTGAACTGAACTGAGCAAGGCATAAACAGGAAAATAATCTTTGCACAGAAAAAAGCATCCACAAACATGGATGATCCAATTCCAGTCACTAGTTTCTATCGCCCGACAGTTCCAGAACTCCACGCGTGACGTAAGGGGGCAGGATACTGCTCATACCTATATGGAATCTAAATGTAAAAGGGTTGTGTCGATGTCCATCTTGTCTTGCCGCCCCTAGACTCTAAGTAGAGTATATAGACTAAGTAACTTAAGCACGATATATATTACCTTATCTAATCGTATAATGATTTATATGATATTAGGGTAACAAGATGAAATTAGAACGAGCGCCGCTCGAAGTCCAAGAAAATTGATTGAATTAAAGAATGACTTGTGGAAGCCTGTACTTTATCTGATATTGCATGAATTCAGGAAGAACGAAAGGTGAAAAGAGAAGAATAAATTTATACTTTCAGCCATGGAACTAAGGTAAGAATCTTTCTCAAGTTGTCACTGTGCTGATCATACCGGTGTCTTTCGATACGATATATGACAGAGGTCTGTGTGGTTAAGCTTTCGGTAGGTTAATCTGAACCTATGCTAATCTCCCTAGAAACCATCCGAGTTGCTCTGATAGGGGATGGCATTCAACCTTGCTGCCTCACCCTTGACATTGACTAACCAGTACCGTGCCATGACTTAGCTACCTTTGGTTGGCAGTACGGCTCACTATGAGAGATAGTCAGTAGAATGCCCCACTGGAACTCCTATTTGGGCCTTTGCAGCTGTTTGGTAAAAGATTAATGCAGTTGGAGGTGTTTTGTCGTAGCACTATAATAACATAATTATCATTTGTTTTACCACATCGAATTGATCAATAGCTCATTTGAGTTGAAAACCAGGAGGGTGGCTGCTAATTTAGTAATGGCCCTTGTACTGCATAAGCGGCGAGGTTCACTACACAAACGGTAAGAGTAAGTAAGATCGTCACGATGAGGAATCAAGTGGATCTGAGAAAAGCTGTAGGAAAGCGGGGTATTTGACACGTATCAGTCTGACTGTGGCATGTTGATGTGATTAAAATTCGATGGATCTAATTTTGACTGCATGCAATCGGTCAAGATCTTAAGATCCACAGACCAGCCCCGCCAATGGTTAGCCACCTTACCTATAGCATGGCCAAATCTTAGTTAGACACGTATAAGGACTTGGATTATAATTTGACATTTGAATAAATGTGCCGTTAAGCTTTTAGCAACTGCCATGATAGCTCTGCCATACGGTGGGGGTAATCCCTGGTTTTAAATTGCTCAATTTGTTATAAATTGAACTGCAGCCCTCGCTCTAAATAAAATACTCTTACCCATTGTGCAGCGAACGATACTCCCTTACAAAGTACCCTAAGATGGTAGGTTTTAAACATTTTCCCATCTGCTGTTCCTGTCTCACTTGTCACAAAAGATCAAACCTACTCAGGGCCGTTTGGTAGTTAAGGTGAAAGATGAATCTGCAGACTCTGCAGGTTCTCCCCCCCCTGAGACCAAGAGGAAGAAGCCTATTGAGGGAAAGGTTATGGCAGTCGGCAAGGGAAAGGTGTTAGACGATGGAACTGTTCACCCCTTGGAAGTTAAAGAAGGAGATACCGTACTGTTTTCCAAGGTACAGTCCATACCCCTTATTATGATATAAGACAGGCAGTATGATTGATGCCCGGCATAGGACGCTGGATCGGAGGTGAAGGTCGACGGGGAAAGCTTCATCCTGCTTAAGGAAGAGGAGTAAGTTTATTTTCTTGAAACGTGCGACGGGCATATATTAATTCAAATTTAGAATCTTGGGTATCATTGAATCTTGATTTCTCATAGCCCTGCATCTAAGGATATTGTTCTTTAGTCGAGGACCAGACCTCGATCAAATAAACCATCCAGCTTCCTATATGCAATATGTCGTTATCTGTTGACTTGACATTCTAATTCGTATACGTCTGTCATGACTGAACAAGCGATTTATCTGACTTTTCAGAATTTCTAGAATGTCGCCATACTATAATCTTCTTCAGGATAAATAAGTAATATAAGGGTTTCCCCCGAGACAAACAGCGCAGAGTGGGAGAGGAAAAAGATAATACCAAGGGTTCTAACCGTAGAACTATCGTATACTGGCTGTGCAGAATGTATCAATTGTTTATTGGGGAAGACTGGTGTAACGGCTATACCGTTACGGATCTACTTGATGATTATCAAGGCTTTTGATGATCAATCTAAAGTACGTTGAGTCACCACAGTAGTTTGGCTCAAACAGGTTAATAGAATTTTGATTGGTTGTTGCAGTTACCAAAGGTATCCCATGGCCAGTGTTCGATCCAATGGCCTTCGCGATGTGGTCAGAGCAGCAGTGCCTCTCCAGGATCTCAACTACCGACGGGTTACCGATGATAAGATAGCCCATCCAGACAGCACCATCCTTGTAGACCTAGCTGTCCATGAGGAGGGTGTCCGCAGGATTCTGCGCCAGTAGGGCCTACCCGCTTCGTTCCCATGAGCGATGATAATATTGTGGTTTTTCTCATGACCCGGCGAAACAATGGGACACAAGCAGATTGCTGCTTATGAGGATATGTTGGAGAGGTATTCTCGTTATCTTCGTGATGGATGCCATCTCCTTGGCCCTACGGCCAAAGTCTGGGTTACTGAAAGGCTGGCTGGAATTGAAAATCACTCGTCGGTCCTTCATCCAAATTGCCTAGATGTGAGAAGCCTCGCTGTTCCTCGTTATGTGATAACTCTGCAGACTATATGAATCCGCTGTCCGGAATCCCAAAGCCACCCTTGAGAGATTATCCAAAAGCTATACCTTCGAGATGTTGTCAGAGAAGCAGTTCCTCACGAAGGCCAGACGATCTTTCAAGGATCGGTTTAAGTCGACCTTGTCGTTGAGCCCAGCGGGATATCAAGGATTTGCCGGCTCTGTGAGCTAGTCGAATTCTAGAGGTTGAATAAACTAATGGAGGATGGGGCTCCTTATGGACAAGACTGCATTGAGGGTCTTGTCGAAGCTCGGTATCGATAGCGGAGATTGGGTGTTCCTTAAGCTTGATTCCTAAATAACTAGGAGGCTATGACTGGAGTACAACTTTTCAACCTCCCAGAATATCTATTCTTCCACCCATTTAGCATCAGGCCACCCGTTGTTCTTCTCCCAATTAAGCCAGTCCCCGAGCATCTCTGTCGCAAATATCAGCAGGGATGTAAACACTGGGGATCAGACCTCATAGAAGTCGATGATAGCACACGGGCAATGGGCAACAGGTATAAGGAGAGCCCATAGGGTCAAAAGGTAGGAAGGGCTTACCATGGCAGGTGAGCTTCTGGTCTCCATTTCTGTCCATAGCCAGCATCTCAGCAAAGTTAGTTACAGTTTCCTCTTTTGTATCGGACGTGTCCTGAGAGAGCTTGAGGAGTTCTTTTGGAGAAAGGCCTAAAGCTGCGTTAGCTGATTGAAAGTCTTTTTCAAGAACACTCAAGTACCATTTTTGTCCATATCCTTTTCGAAGTTTCATTTACGCATTAGCAAATAGGGTCAAGAACGGAAAAAAGGGATGCTTCGGATGGGGCATGAACACACATATTTCTCGAATATCTCGAAGATAACGATCGGGGTAATGGCGCTCACATATGGTACCTAGTAGTTCAAATAAGTACGCAAAATAATGGAATACAAAGATGATAGTAATACTTACCTGATGAGGCATTTTGCTTTGACTAGTAAGGAAGAGATAGTGATATAGAAGTGTAGGCTTTTTGGAGAAGATAATTCTGGGTAAGCCCCGGGATAGTTTGCGTGGCTTTATAGTCCTTACTGCGGCTGGCGGCGTACAGAATGATCGTCTATTGTTCACTGTATGATACCACTAACATGTAACAATATTCAGTTGTCCCGTCATAGACTCATGTCATTCATAGGTCCATCCATTCGATCTTCTTGTCAATATATGCCCGCACGGGCTGAAATCGTCATGACAAGGAATTTCCCGCAAACTTAACCAGACGTAATTCCCGGCTGTTCCGCCCACCTCAGAATAAAAAATAAAAAAAAACAGAACATAACTTGAAAATTCTATAGGACAGAGAACTACTCGCGCGGAGAGGAGCTGAGAAGGATGGACTAGATTGAGTGATTCGATTACGTATATTCTTATTATTCATTAAGAGATAAAACCTACTGCGATAGAGATCATTTCATGATTCATCGACATCGGATAGGATGACGATAGTTACATCGCGCGGTATTCTGAGGGCGGAAACAGACTGTTTGCGGATACGCCAACTACCTGCGAGGTATCTCAGGTAATATCGAATGCTCGAGAATCAGCATACCGGTACAATATGACAACCTGATGCTTTGGGTTCCTATGTCATGACCAGCACACATAAGGTTGCTTAGTTCTGGAATGTTTCTGTAACATGTGGCAAGTCGAAGGGATTAGGGGTACAGTCTGCACATCACCGACGTCAACCAATATAGTCAGGCCATTGTTCAGTTTGGCATCGAGAATACCCATCTGTAAGGGCCTGTGCAAACTACGCTTCCGAACATATACTACTGATCTAAGAGACTCGTTCAGCGCAGCTCAGAATATACCTCAAAGACTGATTACGAAGAGCTGAAGGCCCAATTATAAAACCTAGAGAAAGCAGTCCAGGAGCACATTGCTCTCACAACTGAATAACAAAATAAAGCCTTGGAACGCAAAGAATGACTTCAGGAGAAACAAACAAAACTAACAAGAAAAGGGGTTTAAGCCCGCCTGATCCCGCGTCTCAGTCCTTCGAATGATTACCCAGCTGACCACGCTTGGGATGTGTATGAACAGAAGAAGGATTGTATACCCAAACCTTTTAACAGCCTCGTATTATCAATATATTTCAGACATGTAATCACTTACCCGCCTCAGAACCAGTCACCTCACGCTTCTCTAGCATAGATACTGACAACAAGCTTTGCCTGACGAAAGGTCCTGGAATTCAGTTGCCCAATATTCAACAAGATAGGCTTGGCTTGGCCTTGCTTTGCCGACGCTTGTGGATATGGGTTCTGATAACGTTCAGATCATACCCTTATTTTAAATACCTACCTTTAAAGGTTGCATGTTCATCACTATAGAAGAATCACTGAATTTTAAATTCATAACCAAGTTAAATATACTCTTTTCAGGATAGGCTTTACTAATAACTATCAACCAATTAAAAACATGGGGTTTAGAAGAGCTGTCTAGTGTCAAAGCAACCCCTTACTTCCGAGATTCACCTTATCTTTATTTTATTTAAGAATGATGGATGCTAGGTATGCATGATATATTATTTGACAATGATCGGCTCCAGCTCCCGATAGCGTCTTCCCACCTGTGGACTAACTGTAGGTATCATCAAACTATGATGAAAGATAGCCAAGATCCCGACTGCTGCTATAGCTATCATTACAGCGTCCAATATGATGAAACATATGTGTGATGAGGTACCCCGACCACCCTTGAGGCAGCTCAGCCAGCTCGTATATACTCCGAATATTCAAGCACAGAAAACTCATAACCATCCCGGCAAACAAAAGCGAGACGCTCTTTGGGATCACACCTTGGTGAGGATAGATGGTCCTAAAGACACAGTCCACCATACGGACGGCAACGGCTAGCGTTGAGGTCATCTGAGATACAATACCGGCAATCATAATATGAGCCCTAACGGCCATATCACGGTGAGCGCTGAGTGTGGCGGAAGCAAGACCGCCCCCAACAGCCTGGACTGCGAGGGAAACGAGATCGCAGGCGCAGAAGGACCAGAAGTAACAGTCAGGTCCGGAAATAAGAAGACTTTCGCCCGAATACTGGGATGATACAACCCAGGAGTAGGTAAATGCCGGCCGAGAAAAAGATTGGGGCTGAATGCTAGTTCGTTACGCCTGAGGGCTGAACTCAGTAGCATGTCACAATGCATTCTGACCTATGATCAAGGTAGAGAGTTGCATAGGAAAAACAGACTTGCTGTATGGCCATGTAGCCGACCATATTCGAGCTGCCTATCCCAGGATCTCTCCAAGATGGCAATAAGCGGATTAGCCTGCACGACACACTATATTTAAAACGGGCTTCAGGAGAAAGGGAAAGAATGTGTTTGTGCACCCAAGCAGCCAATAACAAAGACAATACACCACGAGGTCTTTCTACGGACACAATGGACAACGTGTTAAGTCATCAAGGTGCTAAAGAATATCGAAAAGAAGATTTCAGCGACCAAAGAAGGCTGATATCCATATAGAGTCCGCACGTCGTCAATAACTGGGTGACAGGCCAAGCGCTGACCATGCCACGAGTTCGGCATCCTTTTGGAGATGCAGAATTTGTTTGTTTGAGTCCAAATATAATGCTAAAGAGAGCAATGGCATGGGCACCTTATGCTTGGGATTGGCGCAGGGGTTCATATAGAATTTACCAGGGCCTTTTTCATTCTGTCATTTGACCAGTTGAAAAGGACGCTATACCTAATTGATGGAAAGGATATATAGTGCAGGTTACAAGGCCCTCATTCTTCCTGATGCCGAGGGTTAAACTTGGTATGGAGAATGTCTGGCCGTGACTAGAATAAACAGCTACGATGCTATCTTTCTTTCGGTCATGCTTGATTCTCGTGCATTTCACGCTTTGTACGGTCCGATGTAGGGAGCGCTTACGACTCGGGAACAACAGAGGTTCTGCTTCCACCATGTGAGTATAATACTGAAAGGAATCCTGTTAGCCTGCATATCATCATCCATTGCGCAAGCCACGATAGGTGGCAAAGAATGGACTGATCCGTATTACCACAACTCGCCAGTGACTCCCTAGGAGACACCAAGCTTCGCGGGCTTCATAGTGGTTGCGGTTTGTCTGCTCGACCTCATTTATGGCACGAGCCTACGCCTGATATATATGGCTCATCATGTGGGAATCCTATTAGCAGTTCAAGGTCTCGTATTTCTCATTGTGAACGCACTAATAACTAGGGCCTAGGAAATGCGGTACCTGGGAAACATGTCCGAAATTGGCATGTTCTGGGGTAAGCTGACAGTTTTGCACCAACCATATGTACATATATCAGGGGTCATGGCCATTGACATAAGTGATAGTTCTGTTCTGTTCTCGGGGATGCCCGGTTTCACATTGCATCTGACGCTTATTCTCAAACGACATTTTGCACACGGGGATATGAAGATGCGGAACATCTACTATTATGCCTTCTACGTGAATGTCGCGGTAACGGTCCTCGAAGTTGTGTCAATATTCTACCTTACATACGCACATCGGAACAAGTTGCCTGCTGCCGCTACGATCGGTATCGGTACTCTGCAGGTTTTGTTCACCTACACAAAAGCAAATAAATGCCAGCGTATCTACACTGTGTATGAGGAACAGTTATCAGTGCCCAATAAGGGCCGACTATGATTACTGCCCAGATGGGCTAAATTCGTGGTCATTCTGCACGAATATACCCCATACCAGGTGGCTTAACAGGTTCGGTTGGCTGCCACGGGGTTGACTTGAAGAATAGGCCCCGTATACAGGGATCATTTCGCCATCGTGGAAGCACTGGGGCTATTATGGGAGAGCATTTACCATAGACGCTGGGGGAGTAACGATATCAATCGAAAGGTGTATATGTAACTGATTATGGTAATACTTTGCGTTTGTTGACATTTGTCTTTTTACAGAGTACAAGACGGAAAACGAGGTTTCTTTTGTACATGATCTCCTATTGAGGTGCCCTGTCTTTTTGTCTTTATAGTCCACCTGGAGTAGCCATCATTCCTCACACCGTATAATTTCCTCATACTGATCTGTTCACAAAATGGGCCTGCGAAGTCCTTATCTCATACAGAAAAGGCTTGAACCTTCGTGACTCGCACTCAAAGTCTATTGTGGCTAATCTTTAACCAACTTTGGATTTGGTCCTGATAGGTATGATCTGACGAAAAACCGAAGAAAGAGGCAAGTCAACGGTACAAGGTAGATTGTGGTCAAGAGCAATGCAAACACTTGCCCGCTGTTGTCCAAACAGGGCACCCGACCGAAATTATCCTGCCGAAAGGGTATGTTTGTCCGGCTCTCATTGCCATAGATTTCATCGCGTGCCTTATTTGTCGAAGTCAGAGGGGGCCAGACAGTCGCATCAAACGAGATAAACAGGTAGGACCACGCGAAAATCGATCCCAGGATGAACTGCGCGATTTGCATCCCAGTAAGGATACGCTTGAGCAGACCAGGTACTGCAACCTTGAGTGTGGCAAGGGTGTAATAAAAGTACTGGTTATGGGACAGATGTTAGTGAATCCATGAGGGAGAAACCTGGGGTTTCTTGTCACTTACCATGAGTGTGTGAATCACCGAGTTCAAAAGAAGGCCAACAAGACCTGGTGGAGATGCATATCTCACACCTGCCCATGTGCATAACATAACACCTGCATGATGATAAGTCTGCAGAAAGGAACTATTCCTTCCTTTCATAAGGAGGAGAACTGTATCGACAACTTCATAGAATTTTGACATATAGAACATCCACATGTAATAATCAATGCCACGATCCCATAAGGAATCAAACTCCAATATTCCAGGATGGAGAATGTCAACGCTGTGATCATTTGATGTCGTGTGCTGCACAAGAGACCCCTTTTCTTCCTTCCCGTCGAATTTGCAAAGTGCGTGTAAGGCAGATACAAGAGGTAGGTTGCTTCGTTGTAACATTAAGGTTGATTTAATCGTTTGATAAGTGCCCAAGGCAATCCATGCAGAGAAGAGCACCAGACCCACATTATGGAAGAGCACAAACTGGTGAAATAGCGGATTACAGCTCAGGGGCCATGGGCGGTTTTGTCGCTTTCTATTGAGGTGATTAACGGTACAGACGCATATTGCGTAGAGGCAGGCGATAAGCAGAGGTAGTTTAACATCGAGTGTGTGATAGAACAGAGCCGGACTTATGTTAATCGGCCTATCCCACGACAGCTGGGACTGGGATGCGGGGAGGCTAGGTAGGGGATGAGAATTGGGAGGAAGTTTGAAAATGTGAGGATCAGGTAGTCCAAAGTACATTGGAAATATTGAGTCCCCCATAGGGTGAGAACAAGAGGTTGGCCAATGGCGAAGAGAAGGAGGTAAGAAAAAGTTTTAATTCACCGGAGGACAAAAGAATACAACTTCTCTTTGAGGATAGGAGTTTCAACTAGATATAGCACCAACCTCGTGCCATAACATTCATGCAAACGTGCATGGAATGAGTGTTGAAAAAATAAATAAATAGATAGATAAAAAAGCATGTCAAGCGGAGACTCCCACCTGCAATTCTGGCGAGACCCGGTTACAGGAAACATGCATGCTTCTGGTATTCGTCAGGGTTTCAAATGACCACTATGCAATATGAAAGGTGCAATGACATTCCTTGTAACTTGATCAAGATATTCTACACTAGTTTCGATCGTCGGAAAGTTTCCGGATTCTGCCAAGTACGACGCAAGGAGTAGTGTCTCTCGTTTTGCGAATGCTGATGGGTAGCTATTGTATTGCGTATCTCATATGATTGCAGATTCGAATTGACACGTAGTCTAATGGCTGCTTATTCGACATTATTGATGGTCGTTGTTCCGTGGAATGTGGGCTCTCCCAAGAGGTTGAGGCTTGGATTGCTTAGAAATAGGAGTGAGACCGCTTGAATTTGAGAGGGAGTATTGGCTTTGATCTTTGAGATATGGAGAAAGGTGCAGGGTATGTATGATAGATTGCTAGCTGTTCAATGCGCGTTGTGAGCTGAGCTGTTGTTGGTCATTGATTGCAATGGTCTAGAACAATTAGTGTAGCACTTGGTGAGCCAACTTGTGGTGGGGTTGTGATTGTTGAAGTCATATAGAGCCGTGGCCCAAGGAAGTTCATTCCTTGCCCTGGTTGATCTTATGTGTGCTCATGATGTTAGTCTCCCGGGATTGGTGCCTTCCCCTATTCGCTTAGCACTAGACATTCCTTTAGCTCTTAAATCAGGTCATTAAAACTCGACTTTGGCCCTTCATCCAAGGGTAGATTGATAAGCGCACTAGAATCATTGCGTTCCATACGGACCTAAATGGAAGTATTTGCCTCTGATTTCCGGCTTGCGTTCTAGTAGTCCAAGGAGAAACCGGAGCAGTAAGCAACGCACCAGTTCTAGGGCAAGTCTGATATTACGATGGAATCGGGCGACAATGTACTCAAGCATTCAACTGCATCTTCAGGATAATATCATGCAGTTTGATGCCGTTGTTAGTCGGATCTTCAAACACACGGAGAGTCAGGATTGGCGACTTTGAAGAATAAAGCCGAACGCTAATTGATAGGGAAAAATTATGAACAAAGTCTCCATCGGAATGCTTAAGATAACGCGCGCACCACTTTCCCTACTAAAATATCCTTCGCATCCAGTAGAGGCGGGGCCAGTGGACCACTTTGATCTTGAGGGTCGACGGGTTCCACGGGTTCCGGCACTGTGGTGGAAGAGGAGTATAAAGTCGGAGTTACCCGACAGCCAAATCTTCCCATGCTGGGAAGGGCTCCACTAAAAGCCCCATTCTCTTAATATTCGTCAAATGATGGGAATGGATATCTCCGGATATTAGAAGAATATTTTGCTCAGAGGTGGGCCGAAGCAGACTGCTTTTGTTCTGCTTAAATGGAGACTGGTTTCTATTCCGTGTGTCTGCTCAAGGCCATATTAAAACACATTCATGATAAATTAACTTGCTGGACATTTAGGCAGCCATATACTAGGCTTTTTGGTTAGCTTTAGCTTTATTAAAAGCGCGTACTGGTATCTCAGATGTTATTGGTGTCGATATGCAAATGTGGATATCCACAGAGATTTTCACTGGAAAGTGCTGCCTAATTGACCGATCCCCCCGGAGGAATTGGGGTATGGATGTGTATCGCACTTCATATACTCATCAAGTGTCAAATTGATGGTTAGCTGATGGGGATGGAATTCTTTTCAACTAAAAGAAGGTTCTGGTTTGCTTTGAAAATGCGTACTCCACGCTCGGTTTCGAGAAGCTCGCCCGTGGCATCTCCCGCCCCAGACCTCTCCTATCCACCAGGGTTGGGGGTCAACTTCGACGATGTAATAAGAAATTGGGACAAACTGCCGCTGGAGCGGAAAAAGGCTGGTGATCAATGGTCTGCTGTGATCAACCCGGACATAGACAATAACTGGGAGATAGACCTGCTCCATAGTCTGACACACGACAGCATTGTCAACTGTGTCCAGTTCAGTAATGATGGAAAATATGTTGCTGTTGGATGCGCAGATGGAACAGTGCAGGTAATTGAAGTTTCAACCGGAGTCCAGGTGGCTCGTCTACAAGACGATGAATACAGCCACGACTGTCTCTGCGTAAAAGTGAAGTTTTTACCGGACAACTATCTTCTGCTTACAGCAAATTGCGATGGTAATATCCGCGTGGGTTTGCTCACACTGTACAAGATTATACCTGCTACTAATGTACGTATCGTCGCAGATTTGGAACTATATGGGAGGCCTTCTTCGACGAATATCTTGTGGTAGTGAAACCGGGTTCTTCACTCTAGATCTTCCAGCAAATGGCCACTTAATTGTGTTTTCTGAGAGAAACAAGACCCTTAAGGCTTGGGATTTGGATGCAGCATCGGATATTCGGCAGCTGGGGACGCTCCACACAGCTGATAATGTATATACCGTCGCTGTGTCTCCCGACTCCTGTTACATTGCTGCTGGATGCGACGATGGGATGATCTATGTCTGGCGCGTTGCGCGACCAGATCCTGGTGCTGTTAGCACAAATGAGACGAGCATTGAGATATTATTGCAGTTTCAGGCTCACGATGAGAATGTCATGGCTCTTTCATTCACTCCAGATAGCCGAAGTATCATCTCCGGTGGTATGGATTCAACCGCAAAGCTATGGAATATTGATTCCCTGAAAACCTTCGTTAACGAAGATATAACTTTCAACGACTGCACCCTGATATACAAAGCCCATCAGGTTCGCATTTTACTTCCATCCCAGTAACGAGATCTGGGACGCACAACTAATCGATCCAACATCTAGGATATGGTCTTGAGTGTCTCCCCAGATCCCACAGGCAAATGGATTCTAAGCGGCTCAAAGGATATGGCTGTGTATCTATGGGATGTTGGCACTGGTGTTGCTGAGATGCGACTTGGGGCCCATGGAAACTCCGGTAGTTACGCCTCTAAACCAGAGAGGATTCTTGTCTCCTATGTACTGATTTCGTGGTCTTCGCATTTAGTCCTCGGTATCGCATGGAGTCCTACGGGTAATATTGTAGCGACTGGAGGCGGTGATCGCGTTCTTCGGTTATGGCGGTAAGTTTGTTTCGCGTATGTTATATCACGATGATATTCTAACTTGTCTGATGATCATAGTCTACGCAGGATTGGCCAATAATATTACATTCTACCACACACCCTAAGCTTTGTACTATGGGCCCTCTACTCTCCCGCGAATCTAGAATACGTAACTGACAATTACTTTGTCGATTAAGGAAAGATACCCTTCAAATCTGATTGATATAATATAGTAGTGAAAGCGGCGCCGAATCCATTGCTATTTACTTGAACCTTAGCTATGTTCAACAGCTACTATTCTTCATCAACGAGGCTGCCTTTGAGGCGTCCAATATAGGTGAGCATTCGTAGTACGCAATATGCTTATGCCACTAAGCTGACCACAAGCAACATTCCTCTTTTATAGATCATACCCACAACCAAATACCCTGATACACTCCATTGAACCCACCGAACCCTAACAAGCCGTCACCTTCGTAACAACCCTAGCTGGCGACTTAACCCCACCCAATGCCACAGTATAAGATGTGGTATTCGCCAATGACCAATTACCAGAACCTTCACCCCAATAATCCCCCCTAATCACAGAAATCTTCTTGTCGCGATAATTATTCGTCACTGGCTCGGCTTCCTGTCTACACCGAAAAGCCGGAACACAGGCTGGGATACATGCGGCAATAACACCGGTTCCAACTTCGAGAATTGAGACGATGGCTACGTTTGTTATGGCGTCTATATAATTGATCTGTTAGTGGGTAGGGGGTTCTGTTCTCATGTATTTACCGATAGCAGAGTTTTAGAAAAAAAAAAGAAAAGAAAACATACAAGGCATATCCAGCGCCGTCAACCCACCCTGATAACAATTCCTCAAAGCATGCGAAATAGTACCAGCAAGACACAGACTCATACGCCCACAGACTAGAGTCTTGCCACGGCGTTTACTCCTCACGGCCCAGAAGATAATAACCGGTGCCGAGGTCAAGCAGAGGTCAATGATGATCATGAATCCCGAGTGTACGTATGCTACGCTATACACGGAAGTAGGGGTAGACAAACACCAGGGACATCCTTGTTCCACAATCTCTTCAGCGGGATGCAGGATACAGAGAGGATGACGACCGCGCCAATAATAGCTAGTGTCATGAATAACATGAGCCAGGCTAGTATCCAGCGGACAGAACGACTGTTACGGATTCGGAGGATGTAGACGCTGATTGAGTATTTGGTTACCAGGGCGCAGATCACGTTGATCATTTGGTATACTGTGTTGACCTTCAGGATTTGGAGCACTGTGTATTCTGGGCTCGGGAGGTAGATGGCATGCCGGCCGAGGCTGGGGTTGGCTTCGAGTTGGATTGTTATGAGGCCGGCTAGGAGGGCGATCTAGATGTCTTCATCTTAGTAGTTTCCGGGTTTGGGGTGGGAGAGGGTTGGGAAGGGATGTATACACCCAGGCGGTTACGATGCATGTGTCGTCCCAGCCCCAGTTTCTGATTAGAAGGAGGCGTACCCATACTCGTAGGAGAACGGGTATTAGTGCAATTACAGTCAGGATATAATATTCTGCCAGGAGGCCAGCAGTTGTGCGGTGGTCTGGTGGGATCGGGGTGTCTTGGTTCGGGGCAGAAGGCATTGTGTTGTTAATGAGTTGAAGGTGTGATAATCTTAGGCTCAAGGGAGTGAATATCAAAAAGGAGCATATTATATAGAGAGATATACGGCCTTGAAGGGTCAGTGTAGGAGAGGAACTGTTATTATGGGCCATATCTCACCCCATTACATGCATCGTGCACCCGCTACAACAAAGAACTAGTAGGTGTCAATTAAGGATAAATATTGCATTCGATCGGACTATATTAAAATCATTATCTCTACCTCTTAGCTTGAATCTCATTTCCACACAGAACCGATGGCAAATGCCCTTCCATACCCATGGTACATCTAGTAGTAGCTTTAGGTCACGGGGGGAGCTGTCTACCCTCGCACAATCTAATCTTGCTTGTTCATTGTTTTCGGTTTCTTTATCTGCATACTCGATGCTTGTCTAAAGGGCTAGAAGGATATAAGTGATCGGCAGAGGTTTCCTTCACCAAACCCCCGAAGTCATTCAAAGGCGTCTTGTGGATCCACCTCTTAAGTTGGAATCTGAAACCTCATACCTTATACACCACTTATTGACCAGAACCTTACATCGCACAAGATCCCTCATCGTCCACCGTATATTAGGCAACCGCAATATCCTACATGGGCGCCTTGAGCGAGCTAGCAATGATAGATTGGGATTGTGGAGATTAATATGAGACTAGGGAGATGCATTCGGCTACCGGTTCAAAGCCATCAAAGTCTGCGTCACTGGTAAGCGGATTTAAATTTGCTTCTATCGACTTGAAATTACAATTCTATAATAAGAATATGTGGTCGAGCAACATAGTGCTTTACTGGTTGACATCAAATGTAACTTCAGCGGTTTATGCGATGTCAAGTGTATGCCACCGCACGGTTCCTAGCAGGTTTGAACCATATCCTAATACGAGCCTTTCACACTTCTTAGTGCTATTTTAGACACATACTGATACATCTACCTAACTCTAGGGAAAAAACCATCAAGGCAGAAAGTTAGCCAGGTAGAAAGAATTAATTGCATGAGTAAGAGCCTACTGCGAATGGTGCTTTTGTTTTTATTTCTCCTGTCTTTTTTTTCTCCCCCCGGCAACAATTATACCATGATCCATCGGTGCGAGTCTCATCTCCTCAACACTTAGCTTCCAGAAACTACATTAGATCCCCCTGCCATTATTTTCATAGCTAGAAGGTGAAAGTAATAGGGTAAGGCTACATAGACGAGATGACACGCTAGAATTCGCATTATGATTTGTGTATGATTAGGCTGCAACTCGCAATACGGTACCAAAACAGCACCCTGATACGCACTCTCTGTTTGGACAAGCAGTTTAGTTTGACCGAGTGATGTAAGGAACTACCTTGCGAGGGTAGTTTCAAAGATGTTCTGGTACAATTTCATTCATTAGCTAGAGGAATTGTTTAACAGAGTTGTATGATTATTATCCTCCCGGCGTGTGGCTTACGCGCGAAGGCTGCAACGTGTGTATCTGGATCATGGAGATTGGCCCAACTGGCTTACTGTTCCAGGGTTCTTAAGGTTACAGCCCTATGCAGGCTGCCGCCATCTTTTGGCCACACCTCTCTCTTCGCTAATGACCTTGTCAGCTATCTTCAACCAGCTCAAAAGTCATTGTGTTCCCGCAAGCAGAAACGTTCTCACCGTCTTCATCCTTCGTCTCTCAGCTGTTCCACGTTGGCCACTGCATATGAATTGCTGGATATTAAATTGGGCGGCTACCATGAAGCCTCTTACCGGGCTCTGTTTTAGAGCTCCTCCCTCCTTTAGACATTTTGTTCTTTCCCACGTACGTCGAAGTTTTGTTGATTATGACTTGCTGAAAACACGACCTACGAAAACCTGGCATGATCTCGCGCGCTATACAAGAGAGAAACTTACTGCCCAGAACACACGTTAACTTGTCTAAGGCCTTGGACGCTTTGTGGATTCAATCTATGACTTTGGGAATTCGACCGCGTATATCGATTGCGCCAGCTTTATTTGGACAATTGATGGCTCTGTCATAGGCGTGCGCTCACTCTGAATCCGAGCATTTATAATGGTGTTTGACGATAGGTAGTGAAGGATGTGTGCCTTCTGCACTCACCCACCCTCAATGGCATATGGGTCCTCTAGTGACCATTTTCCTGCATAGCTGCCTGCTCTTCGGCTGTCTTCACGGTAGGAACACTGGTACCAACATTATCCAAGGGATTCTCGTGGACTGATATGTGCCCCAGCTGATATTCTTTGACAAACACACTTGTAATTAACCCCAATCCTGCAAAACCGCACATAACAGCCCAAAGGGTAGCAAGAGCCTCGGCATAAGCATTCTTGACCGGATACCGAAGATCAGCAGGCAGAGTTTTGATAACCGCTGCTAAAGCCGAGGCGTCTTTAGCGTAATGATCAGCGATTCCCTTCGTTTGAGGATGGCTCCGTAGTTGCGATTTCATGGAATTCTGGAACACGACGCCGCCAACAGCTACGCCGATTGCCTGTCCCGCGCTTCGAAAAAAGTTAGTCATAGTCACAGCTATGGCCATATTATTCTCTGGAGCCGAGGCCTGAATGGCGAGCGTCAAAGAAGAGAACAGGATCCCCGTCCCGAGTCCGCCAACTATATTTAAGAATATCCACTGAGGAATAGTGGTTTCGACATCCAGCAGATAAAGCAAACCAGTCCCAGTCGTAGTCAGAATCCAACCAATCCAAATCTCCCACCGGTAGTGACCCCGAAGAGTAATAAGTATGCCCACTAAGCCAGATGCTGGGGCAACAGTAAAGGTTTCCGGGAGCAATGCTACGGCCGATATAATTGGCTTGTAACCGAGGACGGCTTCGTAGTAGAGCGGAAGGTAATAGAGCACTGACCACAATAGCATCCCATGGAGGAAGCATCCCAGATAGTTGAAGGAGGAGGACAGATCATGAAAGATATGCAGCGGGATCAGAGGACTAACTGCAAAAAGTTTCTCGTATACTATGAATGTCACTAGACCGCAGAAACCTAGTACTAGCGGCAATATTGTGTGCCATGAGTTCCACGCGTACATCACTCCACCCCAGGTTAGCGGGAGAAGAAATGATGTCAGTGATGTGGTGAACAAAATACAACCAATGTAATCGGCCTTCGCTAGTTTTGGACGAATAGACGACCGAACACGGCCAATATTCCATAGCATTGGGACCAGGAGAACACCTATACCTGCAAAAGGCAGATTAATCCAAAAGATCCACCTCCACGTAACCAATTGTGCAAATACACCCCCAACGAGAGGCCCACAGACGCTCCCAACAGCCCAACTAGCCGATATTATACTGAGCCACTTGCCGCGTTGTCGAAGTGGAATTAGATCCGTCAAGATCACCTCTGTCAAGGCAATAATCCCCCCGGCCCCGACCCCTTGCAATGAACGACCAGCAAGCAGAAGCCGAAAGCCATGGGATATACCAGCCAGGATAGCACCAAGCATGAAGAATGCAATTGAGGCGAGAATGGCAACACCGCGGCCGAAAATATCAGATACGGAACATATTATCGGCTGAAATACTGTCGATGTCACTAGAAACGACGTTCCGGACCAGAATGCTTCAATAGCACTTCCATTGAGCTCCTTAGCTATTCTCTGCGACACTGTCAAGACCTTTCTCAAAGACTGGGAAGCGGTATAGGTTTGCAATACTCGGACAATGGAAGGGAAGACACAGGAGGTCTTACAGGAAGTGCGACTGAAAGAGATGTAGCATCCAGAGCAGCGGCTAGGTTCAATATTGCAAGAATAATAAAGATAATAGTTATTCTCTTCGTGCGGAAAAGCATTGTGAGCATAATTTCTTTTTTATTTGAAGCTAGAAAGGATTCTGGTCCTAGAAGACGGTTGGTTGGGGATATTAGTGCCTGAGCGTGTCATAAAGTCTTAAACACACGGCCGAAATGGATAAGGGTTTAAGCCCTTGCAATAGAAGTCCATACTACATTTAATTTTAACACCCCTTGTTTCAGTGGGTGTAGGGATCGTGTGGAAAAATGTACTTGTACAGTGCGTGTTTAAATGACTATGATCAACTATTCTTTACCTTGATTGGGGGCCGGAGGGTTGATTTAAGAACCCTGCCACAGCACACTCTTTTACTATGTATGAATACACAATACTTACATCAAGAAACAAACAGATCGAGAAAGCGAGCTCACCAGGGCAAGAAACGGGCCAGTTTGCCTCTAATTGTCTCCAGTTTACTGTAACGATACTCCGTATATCCTTAACCTACTCCCATTTTAGCGACTCATTTCCTTTTCTCTGAAAAGAATTTCGTCGCGCACTGAAACACTGTCCACTTATTAGAATGCAAGCATTATTTTAAGGATGTACCAGGTATTTGGGACGGCAAGTAAGGGATGCGTGTTACTAGGCAGGTAGCTGAGGGCTAGCTCAAGTGAGGACTGACTCCTTGCATGAGAAGTGGGTGGCATGCGAAGAACCTCCTTTGGGTAATTGTAGGCTACACAATGAATGTTCACATCAGCAACGAAGTACACCGGCTAAGGCCTGTGAATAAGCTCGCAGAGGGTTAATCGGCAAATATAAAAGAGGGGACTCTTTGTCCAAACCATAGTTGCGCGCCCGCACATTCTAGCGGCCATTTTATTACTGAACAACACAATGCACACCAGTAACTTGAGCAACCCTCCATTTGACTCGGCTACTCACCTACAAGAATGGCAAAATGAGAAGCAGATCCACGGATTACTGGCGCATATGCCTCTCTCAGCAGACTTAGCCTGTAAAGCCTGTACCGAGGCAAGTGAAATTCCAGGTTATACGGTTAAGCTCATGGGCCCAGATGCTGCGAGTGACTGTCCTAAGGTCACCGCTCTCTTTGAAAAGACCTTTATCGAGCGGGAGCCACTGTCGCACGCACTTGCCACCTCAGGTGCAGTATCCAGAGATGTCTTTCTTGAATTTTGCCGGCATATAAGCGAGGCAACATTCGCTACTGGTATGATGAGCATCGCTACGATTGGTGACGGTTCGGTTATTGGTTTCGTCATGGCGGCTCCATTGAACGTGAAGACATTTCCAACTCCTACACCTCCAGGGCTTGAGCCAATGTATGATATTGTTGATATCCTGGATGCTAGCCTCCACGAGTATCAGCGCAATGATCCGAGCATGGCTCCTTCTAAGGTAGTCGAGATCACAATGGGAGGGGTGTGCCGGAACTTTGAAGGGGTTCACGTCGCGGCTGATTTGACTTGGGTATTGCTAGTGGATGCTTATTTGAGAGGATTTCGCACAGTTGTGGTCAAGGCATCTAGCCGCTCGCAGATTGCATTTCAAGCGGCTGGTTTCGTAACACTGGCTGAGGTGCCATACAAAGACTATCAATATGCGGGAAGCAAGCCCTTCTCTCGTATCGAGAGCCCGCCTTCAGTTAAGCTGATGAAAGTAGACCTGGAAACACATCTCAAGTCGACACCAGATCCTCGGTTACGTCGATTGCTTGCTATGAAACGAAATTGATGTTGAGGTTCGCGTGCACTGTATTTCTATCGTCGGCTCCACCTGCTGACATAGGAAATCCCCATCAGTAGCGTCTAGTCAAGCTGCCTAAAATCGTTCTATGCACAGCTGTCAGCAGAATTGGTAATAATACACAGTCCTTACTCCATACGTTGCCAAACAGCGCTGACGCTTTCCTTTATAGTTTTAAGGACCTTTATGCAAAGTTCTAATAACCTGGCCTACACATGGTGTAACAGCTGAAATGAAGCACGGAACGTGTTTTTTTTCAGTTCTCTTCTTTTACCACCAAATCGTGCTTCCTGCAACTGTAGCTTTTGAATGAAATGTGCATGGGTTGTGTAGATGCAATCTGGTCTACGGCGTTTAGCTCCCAGTTTCTGTAATTTAAGAATAAATAGCTATCGTTCCCGAACAGGCTACAGTCCACTGTATTCTATGGCAATTGCTGATGGAAGCATCGGGATGGCCCAGCTCCCTTGAATTGACTGGAAATTGGACATTACACCCGGTTGAAGTAGCATACAGGTATGATTTCGCTCCGATGAGTGAGTCAAGTTTTTATATATGTTGGGGGCAATTAACTCTCCTTAGTACATTATACGGGCGAAAATCCCTGCACTCGCCTCTCTACTCGCTTGTATATTCGCCCTTTTGGATTACATTTCGACTTGCACGTCTCCGTGGTTTTGTTTCGTCGCGTCTCTTCTCGCTACAATATTCAACCTGTTTAGGGGTGTCAGGACTGCTGAGGAGAGAATCTATCTCAACTCGATGACCCAATGTATTGGGACCAATACTTGAACTTAAACTTCAAGAACTGAGAGTACCAGACACTATGGGATCAATGAATAGACATGGGCAGATCCCTTAAAGACGCCGTGGATATATCCAAGAATAGCATCAGAACTTTCAAGTAGGAACAAGTGGATTCAGCTTTTAATCTACAACTAACAAAAGACCAGGCGCTTAGGTCACTAAATCAATAAAACACGATAACCTACCATTTCATTTAGGTTATGCTGACACCCGACTATTATTATGCCCTAAACAATTTGGTCTTAAACATCCCGAACTCTACTTTCTTGGCAGGCTCAGTAATATATGAATGGAGAAATCCTTCTGGGTTAACTAGATTACAGAAAATAGGCTCCCTATTACATGTAACTCTCTGGGATTTTAGTCAAGGGGGGCACCGTTTACCTGGAACTGTTCGGATAGTGAGTGGGGAATTGACAGACTTTTATTAGGATTCAAGTAGAACGATATGATAACAAGCCTTACCCATCGCATAGCCTTATAGGGAACCCTAACTCAATAGCAAAAACCTCAACGAAGGCAGAAAACTGAAGAGAAGATACTAGATAGCAAACACCTTCATTTTACTATCCCTGGCTTTCGCAGGGGGTTGAAAATAGAGTTGAGGCCGCTTTTTGAAATGATCGGGATTTTGAATGCTTACTTATACGTGTTTACTTTGATTTGCGAAAACAAAGACTGACAGGGGAAGGGATAGGCTGTATTGTATTTCATCCCTGTTCAATGCAGTGTGTAAGAGCGGTATCAATAAGGTTATATTCCTTGCATATTAGGAACGTAGATATAAGCATCCTAGCTGGTAGCAATGGCTGGCTGAATTAAACTTTAAATACAAGATAACTATTATTTATCTTTTGAAAAAGAAAATGGACTTCACCGCAAGAATATGATATGATCTACGTACTCATATACAGCGAAAAGAGTAAGGGCATCGACATTGGTATGCCACAAAGGCCTCCATATGTTAAACTAAAATAGGACAGCTATTATCCAGTCTATATTGACAGAAAACAACAAGGGACTTTGAATCTAATTCCAAAGGCTCGAGTAATACTAGCTAAATGTGGTTTAGTATGTACAGTATCTCGAATAAAATGTTATTTCCCTGGGACGTGAAATTTATATATCTTATATTTTTCTCTGTAAAATCTAGATATGAAAAATTAAAATCACTGGGAAATGGCTCTATATTCTATGTATAAAAGGTTGTATTGCCAGGCATAGAACTACAACCCCTAAATTGAGCTTAGCAAAAAGGCGGTGAGTCAACAGGAGCTATTTTAGAGTAGATTATATATATAGTACATCTGTATTACACTTATTATTTTCGATTAAGTATCTTTACTTATAGTTTCTTAGAAATAGTGCTTTTATTTGTAATTTATATACAAAAATATATATGATATGTAAACTTTAACCCCTTTTTTTATAATATTGAATATTGACAGAGGTAGTAATACAATATAATACTAGGCGGTAAATGGATTTGGTGAGGAGAGCCGTTGTTGAGGAATGAGGATTGGCCGCTATGATCCTCCGTATGGGAATTGTTATTTGGACCTCACGCTAAGCCTATATAGAGAAGTTAAGCAAGCCATATAATTAAAAAATACAGTAGTAAAGCCCTTTCAAATTACAGCTTATATAATATCCTATACAAACTAATATAGATTAGTGTATTATAAAAAATACTTATATTCTTTTAAATAATTACTTCTACTATTAGCAATATACTAGTTTTTAGTTAAGGACCTCTTTGTTTATTACCTAGATTAGATAGATAGTGAGGCTACTATATATCGCTGAAAAGGCAATAGATATAGATACTGACATGGCTATTCAGCCGCTCTTAAAGAGAGAGCCCGGGAAGGGAAGAAGTATTCTAAGATAGTCCTGTTTAAACAGTAGTATTACCAATACATAGTATTATGCCTTCCTATATAGGCTTAATGTAAGGTCCAAATAACAATACACCCCCTCCATATATGAGTAAACTCTCGGCTGGGAAGCACTCAAAAGGTGGTGTTATCTACTTCTAAATATTGTACTCTGAAAGCTCATCAACCTAATAGTCTTGCCTTTCGTGCAGAATGGAAAGCAAATTCGGTGGCAATATATTAGACCCTGAGCTTAGTCAATACCCAGATTTTATTGTCAATGAATTTCTTTCAGGACAACACCAATGGATGGATCAACCGATGATGAAGCGGTGGGCCTTGCAACCGCCAGATATACTGCGGAAGGTCAACAGTTTATTTCACCAATGGAAGTGGCAACCACTCGGGCCTTTCAGTCCTCTCTGTGACAAAATGTGGATGAACACGGCTGAAGTGCTGGTTGATGCTGGGTTACCCTGGCATAGCAACAATGTGAATATGCCAAATGAGATTGATCCTACCTGGCCATTACATTTCAAACAATTTGAGCAACTGGTGGTCAGGGCTAAAGGCGCTCGAGTGGGTGATATGGAAGCCTTGGGGTATGTTTGTTCTTGGGAAGAAGCGACTCAGTATGCGATTAGATCATTGCAGCAGGAACTTCGTCAAATGATGGACGGCCGGCCGTTGCTTATTGGGGCTCGAATCGATACAGCTCTTCTCGACTGTACAGCACAGATGTTAGGGCTTGAATACCTGCACGTTATGGATGACGACTGGCATGGAGCCAGACTTAGGATATGCCGCGATTTTGGGGATAAACGCCCCATTATTGTTGTCTCCACTCTCGGAAACATGAAGGGGCAGTCCGACAATTTCGATGCAATACGCCAGTTCTTGGCTGAATATCCAGGCCTCCTCCATGTGGACGCTTCAAGAAACTTCGATTTGCTTACGACTTTAGCTGACGGTGAAAGAAAAAAGAGAGGTGTACGTCGACTCATTCTACGACACCCCTCCCTGGAGTACAACCCTGTAGAGGAAGCCACCGTCAATGCTGCTACTATCGTGGCTGGAGGAATAAATACTACGTATCCACACTATGTCGTGGTCTTAAGGCCTCGAACGCTAGGGTCATTATCTTGTCCATCAGTCGAGTATGTTAGGGGCACCGATAGCACGATTTCTGGATCGAGGGACTCTATCCCCCCTCTTCTTGCTTACCTTCAAGAACTGCGGTTTGGTTCTTGCGGTATGCGCGACATATATATGAGATGCGAGCTCAACCGTCACACTCTCTGTCAACTGTTGACTCAAAGAGGAGTCACAATTGATAAACCTCCGGAGTTACTGGATGTCGTGGTTCAAACACAAACTAATATTTCAAGCATAGAGCAACAAAGGTGGGGATTATTATCGTTAGGAGATGGGAAATACTTGTTTACATTACAACCAAGTGTCACTCATGGTGACATGGTTGGTTTAGTCCATACTTTATCTGGCCATTTCATACAGTCCAGGCTTGAATTTATGGCTGTTGAAGGGTCAGAGTATCCTGTCCCGCATCATGTATCTCAGCAGATCCGCGAAATTGTCTGCAACTGGCGGGTGGCTTCAAAGTTTTCTGGCGGCTACCCCCTGAACCATGCCACCTATTCTGTCCTGGGACCCGTTTTACGCCCCTTGTTTACAGTGTGGATCCCCAATTCCTGGTGGTCTAGAACTGCCGAGGGGATTTTGGAGGACCGAAAGCGTACTTTTTGCCTTTCTGATATCGATCGCTGTGAGTTTACTGGTTGCTTCACTACTGGCAGCACAATGGGAAATAGAGTAGGCATCTATACCGCGCTCAACTATATCCCCGATGCTTTTATCTACTACTCGGAAGCAACACACTATAGTGTCAAGAAGATTGTCCAGGACAATGACATCTTGACAGATCGTTGGGGCAAGGAACAGAGACCGCGGTTTGCCGAGATTGCATGCGACCATCTTGGTCATATAAGAGCGGATGCTTTAGCACGAAAAGCAATCTCAGACAAGGCGTATTGCGACTCTCGGGGAATGAAGTATCAAGTTATACTTATAGTGAATGTTGGGACAACATTCACAGGTGCACAAGATGATATAATACCACTGCGACAGGCGCTTCAATATGTAGGATCAGACACTGTTTATATTCATGCTGACGGAGCCCTGGATCTTGCACTGCCTCCATATTCTGTGCGCCTGGGCCCACCAAGCATCATGGCGCAAAATGGAATCCCTGTTGTTCAGGGCATAACGTTGAGTCATCATAAAGCCTATGGGGTCATGGTGTCCGGGGAGGTAATTTGTTACACTCCAGCCAACAGTCAACTCGCTACAGCTGGATGCAGTACTGTTGATCCTCGTGCAGTCTTTGAAACGTGGTTGTTTCAGAACATGTATACCTTAGCTGATTTGGTGAAAGTGAAGGCCTATTGCTTGAAGAATGCCACACTGCTGAGGACGCTCCTCAGTTCGCTGGGAACACAAACCAAGTTCAACAAGGGTAGCCTTATTACCTTGCTACCACGGCCTCCTCAGTGGGTACTCCAAGAGTTTCACCTCGCACCAGAGGGTGACTGGGTCCATTTTATAACAATGCCACATATCACCCCGGATGCTGTAAGGCACTTTGTTAAAAGTATTGCCGGAGTCAAGGCGGCCTTTCAGAGTACTTTCGGATTTATTCTACCAGCACTCAAGATCGCAACAGCTCGCAATCTGACTTTAGTACGCGTGGAATCAGTTGACCTTGGCATAATCTTGCAAGCGTTCAGTCTAACTCAGGCATGGGATAACAAGGATCAGGAGTTCCGCAAGCTTGATGTGGTGGGCTTTAAGCGCCGGTACATTTACAATGGTTTGACGTTCGCTGCTCTAGATACAAGCCACAAACCCCTGGTTGTTTTCCTTGCGAAATCTCCCCTTGATGATATAATAATACCTGGCCCTGTGCTACATGCACCTGAAGTTTCGTGTATACGGTCAGAGCTGCAACGACTCGCTGCAATTGCTTTTGAATATCTGTCACAGCTTTGCAATCCTGTTAGGCAAAATTGCCTCACGACCCCACACCCCCTTTAGAAACTGCCTTCTACAACTGCTTCATACTGTTATTATTTTATTTCTGAAAAAGAATTAGAGAAAAGTCCAATTCAACCTCAGGTATACCCACCTCCGAACTCCGTTCCCCCTCCAGCAGAACCTAGCAGGATCATAGTCTTCCATATAACCTAGGGAATTGATGGTGCAAGACGTCCTAGCGATGTCTAAGTCGTTAACAGACTATGCCAGTGACGCGTAGAATATGTGGTATGCGTATTAGTTGCTGTGGAATAAATATTCGGGGCGTACCGCGGAGTGATATCAGACGGCACTTCAACCGGTGCAGATCCACGATAAGTAAGTCGATAGTTAGGCATAACTATGGTCAATTTCGACTCTATGTAGCATACCTACCAAGAAAAAGACCGAGGGCTTTCGTGTTTGTGGTTGAAACCCGTTGAATCTCGGCAATTTATCCTCAATCTTAGTTATCGCTGCTAATGTGCTAACAATGCTAAGTTGAAATAAGTTGCCAGTAATTGTGCCTCAAGTTTGGCCAGGTTTTCAATGAGTTTTAACTCCTGCATCGCTTCCATTCCGGCCCATCACTGCAACAGTGGAATCCCTGTAGCCTTCTCCATTACAACGCATACTCTTTGTGTTTCTCCGCACTAGCAGGTTCGTGTAAATAAGTGGCTCACAGATCCTGCTAAGAAGGGTGACATACCGTGTTATATAAATCCCATTTCGGATGTCCAGAAATACGATAGGGAATTTTGGCAATAACTTCTTTCCCGTTTGCCTTTATCATCAGAAGACCCTTGCTAAAGCCTCCCTTTATCTTCTTAGTGGCTACTATCCGAGACGGCTCGTCGCCGGTAGCTGCAGCAACGACATTTAGGCAAGCAAATTCAATGAAATTAGTGATGCAAAGAGCTGATAGGACATTAATAGCCGCTGTCCATGAGCCTGCCTCGCTCTGCCTTGGGAGGGTGATTTTAACGACTGCCTACTAGTACGATAGGCATTAATTGGTTAGAGAGATTGATTTGACAAAGTCGCATGATATGTGATATCAATGGCTGCTCCTATAAAGAGCAACATTGGCTTTAAGAGAAAGTAGCTGCATCACTAGGCTTCCCTAATCATTGTTGATCACGGGGAAGAAGCTAACATTATGGTAGGTTCACCCCTTCTCGGCCTGCATCAGCATCGCGTAGGAGGCGCTGAGATCGGGGTATTAATGGTTGGCCTTTCCATCTACCCCGCAATAGGAATACTCTAGTGGTAGTTGCTCTTCTGACAGCTTAAGGATCAATCTATATAGACTTTGTTATCTTCCGGCTTGGACGTGACTGTGAAGGTTTTAAATAAGTCTTCGTGCAACTATGTGTAGGCAGGTGATGCTCCTAGTGACCCCTCAGCCTAGACGAGGATAGTTGTCTCTTATCTGGAAAATCATCCCATCAACATTAAAACTTATATGTCTATTGGTGTCTACCTTAAATCAAATCTTCTTTCCCTCATCAACCGTCCTACCATCCTACCAAGCACCCAAATCTTGCCACCAAAATGTCTCTAACATATCCAGAGGGGGAGTGCTTCTTCAAGCGAGCAGCCTTGACTACCTCTACCTATACTGCCGAGAAACCAGGGCATTTCTATGCCCACATAATAGTAGAGTATATATGGAATAGGCCGGCATTCTATGGCCCCGACAGCTTGAACAAATACGACCTCCATTACCATCCGCGTGCCGCATATAAAGCGGTAAAAGGTGATCTCTGGGACAGCAACTATGGAAACTGGGACAGCATCTCGCTGTTATATGGTAAAAAGCCTTACAATGACCGATACCGGCATGCAAAACACGATCTGTGTGTCAGCGGAAATCGCTTTCGAGATCAGGAGAAAGGTGGCTCTCTTGAGTCATGGTTTATGGTGATGCCAATGCCACTCTTAGTGAAAGGAGAAGAGTGGGTTCTTATTGATGTGAGCGAGCTCCCCTCATGTGGAAAACTCATGGTAGCTTGCTTATGCAGAATCTAGCGTACGGCCTGTATCCGTGCAATTTATATCCCAGTCGCGCAGCAGACCTCGGAGGATTACCCGGAATTGTGCACGTTCCTCCAGGTCAGTTTTGCGATCAGAAGGGATGCCAGCATCATGACGTATCCTGAGATATGGAATGCGGATGGTCGGAACTATATCGTGGTCGACCGCGAAGAAACCTTCCCCTTGGATCCTACTCTCGGCCTGCTACCGGATGGAAGGTGGGCACTAGCAATAAACATCCGCAAGCTAGTCAATTTGCTTTCCTTGCCACGCCAACTTCGAGGCCATGATTGCTTTTCGTCCCGTAGCATCGTGATGGTGGATCGGAAGTTGACGCCGACAACGGGGGCTGCACAGAACTTTTCCAGCTCGGCAGATTTGAGTTGGACAACTGTTGCCGGTGCGAACTACGGGCTGTCACTTCAGTGGAAGCCCCCACAGGCTACCATGTGGCTTGCTGACTTTATTAAAAATAGTCTTACGGTAGCCATTGGCTTTATTCCTGTGATCGGGCCTCTCGCGGCAGTTTGTTTCCCATTGGCATGGACTGCCATCGCCGATCCTGCAAGTTTCGAGAATACACTGAGATCGCTTATCCCTATCGCAGATTTGGCTTTCTATGTCTCTGAGGAAATCAAGAAAAGTGCCAAGGAGCAGAAGGTGTACTTGCCCGAGGGATGGGCTACTAATGCCGGTGGTGTCTTCGGGTTTGCACCCAGCGTGGCACGTTCTGGGACTCAACCTGCAACTCAGCCTGCGACCACCTTGAAACAAGCTCCAGTGAAGCCCCCAGCTCCAGAGGTGGTCAAGAAAATTGAATCTATCAGGAATTTCAAATATTGGTCACTTATGAAACCCGTATCGGCAACTGCTGCGGCACCTACCACAACAAAGTCTAAGTTGCCAGAGGCAGCTGCGCCTCCCAGTATAAAGACGGTGAAAGAAGTATCTATCGTACCTGAAGTACCCTTGAAGGCACCTCCGAAGCTTTCTCTCGATGAATTGAAACCTAGTGCGTCATTTCAACTAGCTGGTCAGGCTCTGCTCAATTCTGGAGATACCTTGGCCGTGACGGGTAGTGAGGACGATGTCGTGGGAGAAATCCTTGAAGAGATTCTTCCTCATGTATCAGGCGAACCTGAAGAGCCTTCCGTGAATATTTATGACTGGCTAAATGAATATTTTGGTGAAGACCTAGATTTTGAGGAGGAGGAGGGAGAGGGAGAGGAGGAGGATTTGTAGACTGTGAGGCACATTTTTATTGGACAGGGTCCAGACTATGCGGTATGTTCTGCCTTATTGTAGCTTATTAGCTTCGTTTGTTACGTCGCTGTTTTGTGTCCTGGAAAGGCTATTGAATGATTGTATCTCAGATTGACAGTCAACTTGGAGTGATGTATTTGGTTTGACGTAGTAAATGTTCTCACTACCTAGCCTATTATTTGTTCTTATCGGTACGATGCAAGAAATAAGCCGAGCTAGATTAAATGGATCTAGACCCGGAAGCGACACCAACAAAACAGGGAGTTTAGTGTCTGGTTCGAAGGCAGCCGGACGCGGTCCAGAAGACATGCACGAGCTTTCAAGGAAGCTCTTGACCAGTTCCGCAGAGACCATGAGTTAAGAGACACGAGGCCTGATGGCCAGAATTAGTGTCATAAACTCTTTGAGGTGCATGGAGTCTTCCTTGCCGGCATATTCTGATTTTATTATTATGATAAAGTGGATACGAATCATTGCGGTTGTCTGTCTATATCCACTGATAAGAACGGTCCTTCTTCCACCGTTTGCTGCGCGAAGATTGCGATTCTCCAAAGCCCATGTCTAGAAGCAGAGGGCTTGGTCCGCTGAGCCTAGGGTCAGGGTCAGCTATTATTCGGGTGCATCAAATGAATAGAGATAAAACAAGGCAAGAATGAACATCACTGTTATCCAAGCCATCTCAGCCTCAAGACTGAAGATAGCTAACAGCGTTCTTTGTCGAGGGAAGACAACCCCTGGGAATCCCCAGGCACGCCTATCAAGACACCAGGCCAATTTTCTGGCGTGCCGTTGAGTGATATGACAAACCTTGCCCTCCGTGACCTTTTCTCCAATATATGAAGCGTGAAGGCCATCAGGGCCCGACAATCCCCTCAATCAGAATGGATAACGATAAATTTTTGACCGAGGGAGAAATAGAAATAGGATGAGCGGGCGCACGACTAGAATGTCAGCACCTGAGGCCTCAATTGAAAACCGAATGCGCCGGATACAGTAGGGAGCCAATTCCGGCTGCAATCTCGATGAGAAGTTACTGTGACCAGAGGATCACTTCGGCATTCAAGAACCTTGCTTGACTGGTATATGAGAGTGGGAATACTCCCTCCATTGATATTCAGTTCACTTTTCACGGTCGATTCCACGGGTCTGAGGGCGTGACTCATATTCCGACTGATTGACCGTGACTTTGAGCGCCATACTAGAATGGGTAAATACGGCCTCCGAGGTTTCATCAGAAAATTACCCAACCAACAAGATTGATCAGCGCTCTTCGCGTGTAATTGGTTCAATTGCAAAATGTCCAAGAGGAGAGGTGTGTTTCCTGCTGGTTACTGCAATTTAACATCACAAGAATGACCTACAGCTGTCTCAGTAGTATTCGGCAGTAGTTCGTTGAGCATAACATGCATCGCTGACTAAAGAATGTACCTAGGGTTGTGTTTGGCGGTATCCGAGAAAAAGCAAGTCATGAGACACGATATTCTGAAACGGAAAATGTGAATCTTCAATGTGTAGACAAATAAATAGGTAGCTAGGTAAATCGACAACCTCTTAAAAAGACACATCATCAAAAATCTCCAAAGACACGGGAACAGTGGTGATTTAGTAAAACAAAAACAATCATAAGACAAATAGTAGCCGCAAATGAATACTACCTAGGCACAGGGGAAAAAAAAAAAAAAAAATCCAAAACTGACCCGTGCACGCACGTTGTCACAAAACCTCCGAACCTAATCTGACAAGTACGGCTAACCCGATCCACGACTCCAGAGAATCATGTAGTAATCATAACGTGAAGCGAATAAAATGCCTCATGCATCGTCCTGCACTCCAACTCGAAGCACCTGCCTATTTAGCTTAGCAACCTTAGCGTAGCTTAGTTGAGCTACAGCCAATCCCCGTCCACGGTTGACCTCCCCGTTTGCCCACAGCGTATCTTTGCAACGTTATTCTCGCTTACGACGGGTACCCGCTATAATATGGAGTACTACTATAGTCCTGCTACTAATCCGACAGGACGACGACTACTGCTACTAATCAAGACCCTGATCCTCCGAGAGGAAATAATCACTCATACTGAAGCATAGCTTATTCGCATCCTGCGCCACGAAGCCCGTCCGGATTGGCTCGAGCTTAAGCTTCGGGGAGGAGAAGGGGGACAAGAAAGAGGTTAAGTTGCCAAGATGTTGCCGATGCTGCTCAGCCACCTCCATCCATTGATTTTTGTTTGGTGTCTTTTGGTGATCCTTGCAAGCGAGATGATCTCTTTTGACGTTTGCATCTGATCATCTGGGCGGTTTTGTTACGTTTTGTTCCCCTACGTCAGAGAGGGAAATGGGAGGGAAAGCCACGTGTGATTTTTGACCTTCGATCAATTTGGATCACAATGTCTCCAACATTGTGTATCTGAATCGAACAATGTATCTAGGACTGTTTAAAAACAAAATTTTATAGAACTAGTTATAAAGTTGACTCGGGAAAAAAAAAAAAAAAAGAGGGAAAATTGTCATAGCTTTCCACACAGAAGCTCCAGCACCAGCCACAACCTGCCCCGAGCGTCACCCTTCCCAATTTCTTGACACTTGCCGGATATTATCTCAAGACCACGACCCAATATTTAGCAAACCCGTACCTTAGTTCGGGTCCAGGCAGCAAGATTGCCCATCCATCCCAAAGGGGGTAACCCGGCCGGATTGAATGAATGGAAAAAAAAAGCACCAATGTATGAGGGAATTTGCTGCACCATTCCATGTCACCGTGTTGCCGCCCTCACTAACACGGATAAGGAATGTATGTACCTGGTATTAATCACAGCAGAAAATTGGGGAAAGGAAAAATTTCCTTTCCCACAGAGTAAATTAAAAAACAAAAAAAGCTGTTGCAGCCAGCTGAGAGGGGAAAATCCCGCATAGTAAACTGTTGGTGTGTGCATCTCTTACCGATTCTATCCATGCAGCGATCTCAACTTTGTTACGTTAGTGAGTTCGTCGTTGAGGGTTACTGACTGGACTAACTTCCCAATATGGACAACCTTCCTTAGTAAAACTCCCGGAGTAGCATCGATGTCATAGTATGGTCTATGCTTGTGGCTGTGGTGTTGTTTTTCTCTTGTGATGCCGCTTGCCCTTTTTTGAGTTTCTTTTCTTTTTAATTTATTTTTTTTCCCCCTTACCTTTTTGTCATTTCCTCTTGGAGACCCTCTACTCACGTATAAATTCAACCGTCACCCATCCACCATGCTCGTCGATCCGCTCATACTCCTCAAGGAATGCTCATCGACGGTGAAAAGTGGGCTTGTGAAGCTTGCGTCCGCGGACACCGTGTGACGACTTGTAAACATCATGGTGTGTCTCGCTTTCTTGTCTACATCCTCAACATATCTAACTGTGAGAAAAACCACAACACCCAGATCGACCGCTAATCCGCATCAACCGGAAGGGTCGACCTTTCTCCACCTGCTCCGTATGCAACAACACTCCCTGCCCAACACCAGAAGAGCATACCAAGCTCAAACGCGAGGCCGAGGCCAAATCCTCTTCAAAAGTACAATGTGACCAAGCACCACCACCTGAGACCCCTTTCAACCTTTAACCAAAAGAGAGAAAAATAAAAGAGAAATATGGCAAAAGAAACTCTCAATGAAAAGAAAAAAAAAAAAAAAAAGATCACACATAAGCCACATACCACACCACACTGGGAACATTTTTGTATAAAAACACAGCAGGCTGATGTTGGGTTGTTTCTTTGAGTTTCGCTTGTTCCAGAGAGGTGCCGCCAGAGTCTCTTCGCGTTCGAATTCTGTCTTAGTTCCCATTGCACCGAGACCGTCGTCGAATTCGCCGAGCCCCCAGAGTCGTCCCCAGATCATGACTGGTTCGAGTCCCGTCGTGTCTGCGCCATCGCAGCAGCAGCAATCGCAGCACCAACAGCAGCCGTTTCATCTGGAACAGCACCCGTCGTTTGCGCGTTCGAGTATGGCCCTGCCGTTTACGGGTGGCGAGTTTGTGACGCCGGCGCTGTGCTCAATGGGTGATGTGCCTGTGTCATTGTCGATGATTAGTCCGTTAGATGCAGATCCGACGGGGCGGTTGTTGTTTGGGGAGGGGCCATTTGGGGATGGCGGGTTCTCGTTGGAGGATTTGGATGTTGGGGCGTTGGAGAGGGAGGTTCTTCAGGAGGATTGGTCATGGTTGTCCGAGGATGCGCTCTGACATTTGTGGTGGGGTGGGATGCGTAGGGATGGGCATTAAAAGGATTTACGACGATGATGACGATGATGAGTGACGATCTTGTGATTTTACCTTTGGGTGGGTTCTTCCTTCTTTCTTGGATTTAGCTTGTATGCTTAAAGGGGGGTATTACATTCTGTCATGCATATATGTTCATGTCAGTGCCATAGACCATATGGTCAAGTACATATGTCTGCGATAATGAGACCAATGCTATGCTCATTGAAAAAAAAAAAAAAAAAAAAAAAAAAAAAAAAAAAAAAAAAAAAAAAAAAAAGAAAAAGAAAAACAACAACAACAATAGGACTTCCAACTTCTATACAGCCGAGGCGAATGCTTGCTGCATGATACTATGCTAGGATGTGCAGCGGCCAATAACAAGACGGATACTAACAATAGCCAGACCGCTAAAACCCCCCCAAAAAAATAATAAAACCTCAGCTCCAGGCTCCCCAATGCAAATGACAGACATAAAAGATACCTTCTGTGTGCGTATATACATCTGTACAACACGAAGGTCTTGCGGCTGATTGTTGAACCGATGGATCGAACTATACCTCCTGGATGTAGTTGGCCGGCACACTCTTGGTCACGCCCCCTCTTTCCACGTCCGCCCATCCGTCACCGCCATCCCGGTTGACCAGCACAAACCGGTCGCCTTCCACCATGCTCCATTCCATGTCACTGCGAGCCTCGTAGTCGTACAACGCCTCGACGTACTTCAGCTTCTTAGCGCCCCGGCGAGGTGCCACGGCCGGCCCAACTTTCTTACCCACCCCACTACCTGCAACGGAGGCAGATGAGGTGGAATAAGTGGACCCCGGGCGCTCAATCATCCCGGAGCTAGTCGCAGGGGCTGCGGACGCCGCGGGTGCCGCTTCCACGTAGGAGGCTGGGACGAGACCCTCAGCCGAGCCCATGCGGACGCGCATCCATCCAGATCCATCTAATTAGGGTTGAAAAGTCAGTAAGGCTTCAACGTTTCGATTTAACATGTGGGAAGGCTCACCATCCGGTTCCAGAATAGTTACATCATCCCCATCTTGAACGGTTATTTCGTCGGCTCCTCCCGCTTGGAATGGATAGATCATCTTCCCGCGTGGTTCACTTGGCTTCGTTGATTCAGCTACTGGCGGAGCCTTGACGTATTGCGCAGGGGGTGGGGCTAAGACCCTATTTCTCTTGGGCTTGGTCTCCTGCACAGGGGCTGGAGTTGCCGCCGTTTCTGGCACCGGGGCTGGAGCAGCTGATTCGGTCGGACTAGCCAACGCTGGCTGGCTGGCAGCGTTAGACATCGACCGGTTGGCACTCACGGCGTACCCAGAACTTAACGAGTTCATCGTATCCTTCCGAGTTAGGGAAGGCGCGGCAGATGAACCAGTAGTTGTCGGCTCAAGGTCGAGGTGTGGTGTAGAGGAATTAGCCTGTTCTTGCCGTTCCGCTTTAAGCTTCTTCTTCTCTTCCTTACTCTGCTCCCCAGGACATTCGGCGGGGACTTTCATTTGGCATTTGCTGTGACACGTATATCCGCAATCCCGACAATCAAATCCCTTCGCCGAGAGTCCCCATATCCGCTCCCCGCAGAGGTCACAGTTGGTCGGGATTTTGAACGTTTGCGACTTGAAGTTGTGATTCTTGGCACCCAATGAGAGGTCACCAACTACTGACATAATAGTAGATGTTTCGACCTCGGCAGTGAGCTTCTTACGCTCTACTTCATGCAAAGCGCCTTGCAGGTAGAAGATAGATCGGACTATATCGACCTCGCTTCGGTTGTCTTTGCCTTGTTGGATGTTGTCGCGGATCCGCTTGGACGTTTCGACGTCCCTGCGTTTCTGGTCGGCCTCAACTCTCAGTTCCCGAACCTGCGTTTTACTCTTGCTGAGCAGGTTGCGCAAGAAGACCTTCGCAGTCTCATCGGTGACAAGCGCTTCGTCATCGTGCCAAACGGGGCTCGGCTCAAAGCTCATATTAGGCGGTTCCTGTGACTGGCTGACATTGTGGCGCAAGAACATAAGTGAATCGAGGTGCGGGACATTCCGTGGGATCTCGTTGAGTAGATGGGCCATATGTTCCATACTCTTAGATAGAGAAGATTTTTCCAGTTGCGCTGCAAGTGACCATAGAGAATTCAGCTTTGATACGCGCATTTCGTTGAGGTTTTGCAGGCTCTGGGAACACTATTAGCTCTGTGCTTTTCGATCCCCGGAACCTCTTACTTACATCTAGTAGCTCCGGGACGTATTCATGGTAGAACCGTTCTTTCAACTTGTTCGTCACGTTTATACTGATGAGGTACGTATTCTGCCTCGGTTAGCAACGGTCTTCGGGCAGACTGATGTTACCAACTTTAACATTGTTCATCTCCAAGATCTGCTGCTGATATGCAGCTTGAGCCTTGGGCTTGCTGTGATCGAACGAATTCTCCATCTTTTTCCGCCTACCCTCCACTTCTTGGCACACCCCATCGTATTTGCCCTTTGCTTTCTTGAGGTCACCGTAGGCGGCATCTCTTTCCTTTTCTAGTTTCGCATGGAATTCGACGTGAGACTTTCTGATTTCCTCGTATTGTGCCGCAGCTTGTTTCAGAGGTTCCGCAACCTGAACAAGGAGGTCTGTAGCGAACTGATCACGTTCTCCCGCATGCGATTCAACGGCGGTCAGGTGGGTAGTCCAAGTGGTAAGCGAAGCGCTTTCGAGGGAGCCGGGGGTCATGGTTGGAGTATCTCCGACGCTTAATGTGCTTATTTTCTTGGCCTTGCGATCCTGGTATTTTCGGCAAAGACCCGTCAGCTTGGCGGCGTACTCCTTTTCGATGGCGCTCCGTTCCCGGTAGAACTGTTGTATCTCGTCGAGCCATTGTACCCCGTGGGAAACCTAGTCAGAACAGATATTAGTGACTGTCTGCTTGAGTCAATGGTGCCACACCTGGGTTCAGTGAAGCATGGCGGTAGGTGTGGGAAGTGACCAAGGAAACATACCCAATTGTTGACTGGTTTGAACGCATCCTATTGTAGATTCGCATTAGACTTATCTTTCTCATCGCATCCGTGCCGTGAATACCTTTAGTTCCGCTCCAAATTGCGGAGCCACATCGGGTGTTGCCATTGTAGATGTGACAGCCCCTCAGAGATCGCGCGCATGAGACTTTTCGATGTCAAGGACAAAGCTGAAGATGAATATCGGTTAGAATTAGGCAGCTATGATTGGGACTGACTTGGCCACGTACCTCCACGTGCTGTCTTTTCTTGCGCGACAGGAATTACTCGTCGTGACTTTGCTCTGGATATAAAGGAATGACCAACCGCTAAGCGCATCCGTACCTGACAATCTATCTACCTGAAGGGGGCCATGCGGAAGCGGGGAAGATGGCTGGAGTAACGCCGGTGACAATACCGAACGACTTTCAGTTTCTCAGGCCACGTTGGCGGCTCTCAGACGCCCACTAGGGCCAAGTTAAGCGTAATATTACGTCATGCCTTCCTGTACCGAACCATTCTCTCCACCGCCTTCCGTAGGACGTTAGACGATAACCGCTCGGTCGTTTGCCTAACCAGGAATAGTGTGTTTGCAGTATGCTGGGCGGTACATGTTGGGTTTTTTGGCTGTCGTCACGTCCCTCTTAGGAATATACCTACCAGGCGCATCTATCGCTGCTGTGTTACTCTTAGCTTCTGCGTCCGAGGAGGGTTGTCTCAATACCTAATCTTCCCAAACCTCTTGCTACGGAGAGGTCCACTTTCTCTTTCACCCACGTCTCCTGTTCGATCTTTTCTGTTCCAGCGAGCTTGCTTTACCCCGCGGGCCGTCTCTTCACCGTCTTGATCGCTTCTGACACCCTTTGTCTAATCATCTGGTTTTCTCCATTTCGCAAAGCTCCTTCACGATGTCCGCAGAACAACCTGCTGAAGCTGCCTCCGCTAGTAACCCTCTGGCAGATCGCATCACGACGGCCGATGGATCGAAGCCGGAAGGTATGCAATATTTTCAATAGCAGTCGCCAGACGTGATTCATGCGATGCCTGCTAACGTCACCTTCGCGCAGTAACCACTGAAACGACCGACAATGAACAGGCCGATGGCGCTGCCGCACAGTTGGGCGGCTCCGAACTTAACGAGCCTGAATACACGGTCGAAGTCAAACTCAGCGATCTCCAGGCGGATCCTAACAACCCTCTTTTTTCCGTGAAGAGTTTCGAGGACCTTGGACTGTAGGCGACACCACGTGCTTTGGATTTGCCATTCTATCCCCGCTAATGACGTGCCGATCACCAGGGATCCTCGCATCTTGCAAGGACTGTCTGCCATGAACTTCCGTAAACCCTCGAAAATTCAAGAAAGAGCGCTCCCGTTGCTCTTGAACAACCCTCCCAAGAATCTGGTCGGCCAGTCCCAGTCGGGTACCGGAAAGACCGCTGCATTCGTCCTCAATGCTCTAAGCCGTTTGGACCTGTCAACAGAACAGGCGCAAAAGACACCCCAGGCTTTGATCTTGGCTCCAACTCGAGAGCTGGCCCGTCAGATCGTGGGTGTTGTCCAGGTCATGGGCCAGTTCCTGGACGGTCTTAACGTCTCCACCGCCGTTCCTGCAGACACTAACAGTCGCCATTCGAAGATCGAGTCCTCCGTTGTCGTTGGTACTCCGGGAACAGTCATGGATATGATCAAGAAGCGTATCATGGTTGCGAATAAGCTGAAGGTTCTCGTTTTGGATGAGGCGGATAACATGCTCGACCAGCAAGGTTTGGGCGATCAGTGTATTCGTGTCAAGGCGTGAGTTCCTAAGGGCTCCTTTTCTTTTGGTACGAGCAATTCCAGCTAACCGTACGCAGTTTGCTGCCAAAGGATATCCAAGTCGTTCTTTTCTCCGCCACCTTCCCCACCCACGTTCACCAATATGCGTCCAAATTTGCCCCGCAGGCCAATGAAATTACACTGCAGCACGAAGAACTGACCGTCGAGGGTATCAAGCAACTTTATCTTGACTGTTCCGACGAGGAGGATAAGTATAAGACTCTTGTCCAGCTCTACGGTCTTCTTACCGTCGCTTCCTCTATTATTTTCGTTAAGGTTGGTGGCCCGGCTCATCCACCCAGTCGCATCTAACAGTTGATAGACACGAGCATCCGCCGTCGAGATTGAAAAGCGCATGGTCGCCGAAGGTCATACCGTGGCGTCTCTGACTGGTGGTATCGAGGGTTCTCAGCGTGACGCTGTTATTGACCAATTCCGTGCTGGCCAGGCTAAGGTGCTGATTACGACCAACGTGCTTGCCAGAGGTATTGATGTCTCTACAGTGTCCATGGTTATTAACTATGTGAGTCGAGATGATGACGCGCATTGATAGAAAGAAGTACTAATCTCGTGCTCAGGACATCCCCGAGCTTCACCAACCTGGCGCGCGGGAACGCCAGGCGGACTTCCAGACCTACCTGCACCGTATCGGTCGCACCGGACGTTTCGGCCGTGTCGGCGTCTCCATCTCATTCGTTTCCAACCGGGAGGAGTGGAATATGCTCAACCAGATCCAACAATACTTTAACTGCACTATCCAGCGGGTGGATACGAAGGACTGGGATGAAGTTGAGGATATCATCAAGAAGACTATCAAGAATACCCGCGCCCAGGCCCAGTTCGGGCGGTAAGGTGCGAGGGCTGGGCATGATGGCCTGTATTGCTTCCATTGATGGCTTATATGAAGATTTACGAGGTTTTCTTATGTGGAGAAAAAGTTCCCGAAGAATAATAGATACCAACGACATGACCCGATTCTAAGGAACCTAATTAGCTTGTAGATACCTTATTGCTGTACGGAGTACTTTCGTCAATGATTGTAGTAGTAAGTACTCCTAGTAGATACGGAGAAGTCACGTGTAGTAGAGCTTTGGATCACTTGACTATTTGTAGCTCTAGCTCAGCTCCTGCAGGAAATCCTGAAGAGCATGTAGCTCGAAGCTTATACGGAGGTCTTCTTTATAAGGCAGTAAAATATCCGGCAAAAATGTAGGGCTATTCAGTGAGTTGACTTGGTTGATGAGTGTAGGGTGTGCATATATATATATACATTTTAACGTGCCGGAGTATCTGATCTACTAACAAATTCAATACACACGGAGATAATCGAATATTGATTGAGTGATTGGTAGCTATCAGGTGACTTCCACCGACAAAGACCGATTAGGTAGCAGTTTTGGTTGGGTTTGGATGTCGAGTAACGTGGTTCCAATGTAGCAGTCGACAGGTCATTCCAAAATCCTTGGAATGAGGGGGTTTTGATTTGCCGCAACCCCGCGTTGCTTCCAGTCCAACATCATCTTGCATCTAAAAGACAGGGCACCAAAGACCCCTTTGGAATGTGTGCACGAGGTAAAATAAAATTTGGTCGTGAGTTTATAGGGACAGATTTTAATATGGGATATATCTTCTCAAGCTTATCATTTCTGGTGGAGAAGATAAACTAGAGAGATAAGTCGGTCACTACTATCGAGAGAGGGGAAAAACAAATGATAAGGCGATACGATACGATAAGGTGCGGAGAGACCAGAGTGAAAGAAGGTTCAAGTCAATGATTACAGTACCAATTCACAGGTCACATGCAGTAAGGAGGGAATGCAAGCTGCAAAATGAATGAGACCATCTTCTCCTTCCCTCTTTCCTGCTTTTCCTTTTCATACGTATATATCCCTTAATCCCCCGTTCAACTTCCTCCTTTCTTCTCTACTTGTCTCCTCCCATCTCCATCCCTATCCTAACCAACACCAGCCAATATGACCACAGATAGCCCCGAAACGACCAGGGCTGACGGGACGACCGTCCAGGCTGCCCCTTCACCAGAATCTCATTTTAGCACACATATCGTCGTAAGTGCCAATCCATAATACTCCATCGCAAAGATCCCCCACACTGATCTACGATCTAGTTGACAACCTATCCCGGGCAAAGCGGTATAGATCCCGTGCCCCTAAACTGGGGTGCAAAGGATGCCAAATCCCGTGGTCCTGTGGTGGTCTCACGCAGCGGGCCATTGCTGAAACGACGCAATGCCATGGGTGCCCATGGCGGTAGCTACAGCATCTACAATGCCCTGGCCATCGCTGCCGGCGACCTTCCCCCTGACTTCCGTCCGGACTTCAAGAATAGTGAACCCACCTTCAACTTCCCCTGGCAGCCCGCCTGGGCCGACAAAGACAAGATCGTGTCAATGGACCCCTACGGTCACGACATTGTCAACCAATTCCGGGATGAGTTGAACGCCGGTTGGGACATCCGGCCTACCATGGCTGTGACCCGCGCTAATATGAAACTGGCGGAGATTGGAGAGGCAGTGCGAGACGGACAGCTGGACGTGGATGGTTCAATCGTGGTAGACTCCTCGGGTGAAGTCCGGGTGACGAAGGTCGCCGTCGAGCCGGTGTGGTATCTCCCGGGAGTTGCGGACCGATTCGGCGTCTCGGAACCTATCCTGCGTCGGACGCTCTTCGAACACACGGGTGGTAGTTACCCGGAGCTGATTACTCGGCCGGACCTTAAGATCTTCTTGCCACCTATTGGTGGTCTGACCGTGTATATCTTTGGACCCCCCGAGCGTGTTTCCGATGAGAACGTGAAACTGGCCTTGCGTATCCACGACGAGTGTAACGGAAGCGATGTCTTCCAGTCTGATATCTGTACATGTCGGCCCTACCTGGCGTTCGGTATCCGGGAGGCGATCCGCGAAGCCCAGAATGGAGGCAGTGGTGTTGTTATCTACTTTCGAAAGGAAGGTCGTGCCCTGGGCGAGGTTATCAAGTACTTGGTGTACAACGCCCGCAAGCGTGGCGGCGACACGGCAGATAAATACTTTACGCGGACTGAGAACATCGCCGGTGTGAGAGATGTATGTCATTACTTCATCATTATACTGCCTACCATCACCATACTGACAATCTATCTAGATGCGCTTCCAAGCCCTCATGCCCGACATCCTTCACTGGCTCGGCATCAAGAAGATCGACCGCATGCTCTCCATGTCCAACATGAAACACGATGCGATCGTCCAATCAGGCATCAAGATCCTCGAACGAGTCCCCATCCCCGAAGACATGATCCCCGATGACTCCCGGGTTGAGATCGACGCGAAGATCAACGCCGGGTACTTCACGACGGGACGACAGTATACCATGGAAGAACTGGCCGAGGTGAAGGGACGCGGATGGGAGAAATGGGAAGATATCACGGTAAGCCAGCCCCATATCCTTGTTTAATCACCGTCCACTGACATTTGTATAGCATTAAACTGGGCTCTCAACTACACTCACATATCAAAGTACGAACTGGACGATGACTGACGACGACCTGACTTTCGAATAAGTTCACTGATGGAGGTTTCATTGCGCCATCTTATGCATAGTTAATTAAGCTCTATAAACGAAAACTTCTCACCTTGATCCTTTCTGTAAAAGTTGTATAGAGTCCCTATGACCGTAATCGTGGATGTGATATACGTGCATGATATATTAAGTGTATATATATACATATAGAGAACTATACCCCAATCTAGAAAGTAAGGAAGACAGAAAATCATTCACCAACGACCGGCAACACTTCCGAGCAATCT